CAAATTTCCTTATTTTTGTAGTAATATTCCGCTATCATCTGCATATGGTGTTTATTTCTCCCTACGTATTCCATTCTCACGAGCATGCTCTGAGTATACGATCAATTTTTAAATCAAGATAAGCTATACCGACAGATATGTTGATGTTACAGGAATTTCAACCACAGGCACTTGGGGTATGGACCCCCTCTTTTCCATTTTTTTCCTTTTTAAATCTGGGGTCAAGTCACCTTTTTCCTACTTTTTTAATTCTAATAACTCTTTTGTCTCTATAAGCTGTTTTAAATATATCGTTTTCGACTGATACATAAAACAGCCGAAAACGATGTATTTAAAAAACAGCTTATAGAGACAAAAGAGTTACATTATCGATAACATATAGTGCATAATAGAATATAAAAATAGGAAAAAGGTGATTCGTCCCCAGATTTAAAAAGATAAAAAATGGAAAAAGGGGGGGGGGGCGGGTTCATACCCCAAGTGCCTGTGATTTCAACAACCTCGTTTAAAGTGAGCATTTTGTAAATTCTATGTTATAGGTTATAATGACCTTGTTAGCAAATATCACCTATCAATGGGTTTATGGCTGACTTGTTTCATACCAATTGTTATTAGGCTTTTGTTTTATACTTAATTTGACTACGGAATATTCCGTCTACTTGATCAATACCTTGGGCTCACGCCGGGTGTGACCGATCGACATGGAATTCTTACTTCTCCTAGTCACCTGATCCCACCTCGGTTTTTTTCCCTGTTCACGATTCGTTTTGTTTACTTGATTTTGGAGATTGTTAATTGTTTGTTATCTTCACCTATTCCATTCCACTATCAAGCCTTGATTCCCTGCCGAGTTCCACTCCAGTTTTTGATTTTAACCCGGACTATCCATAATAAGTATATAATCATATCCGTAATAAGTGTGCATGTATGTAATCATTGACTTACTGTACAAAGCCTTGCATGATCGAACCTATAAAAGAACTTATGTTGCCACTCTTAATGTAATGATTTTCCAAGCTTAAAACAACACTCCATCCCTTCCTTGGGATAAATTTGACAGACTTTTCTTGAGAGGACATGAAGAAACGATTCCTGTACACGTTTATTACTGCGTATGGTGGCATATTTCTGCCCCTTGTGTGCAAGTTATTTTTCTGTCAAATATGTCGACATGCAAGATAAATATGTTGACATGCAAGATAGTTATGTCAACATGCAACATAACTATGTTGACATGCAAGAAAATTGTAATCAAATAAAAATTATAAAAAATCTTCAAAAATCTCAAATATTGCCCACATGTGACATCCAACATGCTAGATGCTACTTATTTATGTCAACATGCATTTTATTTATGTTAACATGCGAGATAGATATGTTGATATGCAACTTATTTATGTCTACATGCAACTTATTTATGTCGACATGTATCTTGGTTATGTTGACATGCGAGATAAATATGTTGACATGCAACATATTTATGTCGACATGCAACTTATTTATGTTTACATGCATTTTTCAGATACAGTTCTGCTTTGACCTTAGACCCTAAAACATAGTTCATGGTCACTGCACACCCTTTAAAAGAGACCTCAGACGAACAGATGGACGGACGGACACACTAATTACTATAGGTAGCCAGCAGAGAAGGGCCCTAAAAACGTTTTATAATCTACGGTCACGTTCTGAATCGCCAGGACATTTTATCTAAGAAAATCCAATTTATACTTTGTTGTCCACCTCATATTATAGAAAATAATTTAGACTGCAACATTTGCTTAAATAAATTTTCGATCATTAAAATCAACTTCAATTTTACCGACAGAAAAAAAAAACCAGAACCGTGTTTCATTGCACGTGTCTTGGGTAGTAACGAATCTGCACGCTCGCACAAATGTTCAAATTGTGTATCACATAACTTCTTTTGCATTCAAATTTAATCATTTAATTCAAAATCTTATCATTTTGAAAAATTGATCATATTCTAAAAATTATATATCCAAAATGAAATCACAAATCGATCATATTCACTGTAAACCTTTTTGGGATTCATGGGTCTTAAGACATTTACATCGATTTGTGATTTCATTTTTGGATATTTACTTTTTTATGTTGACATAAATAACTTGCATGCCATTATTTTTATTTCGCATGTCAACATAAATAACTTGCATGTCGACATAAATAAGTAGCATCTAGCATATTGGAAGTCACATGTGGGCAATTTTTGAGATATCTTAAAGATTTTTTATAATTCTTATTTGATTGCAATTTTCTTGCATGTCAGCATAGTTATGTTGCATGTTGGCATAACTATCTTGCATGTCAACATATTTATCTTGCATGTCGACATATTTGACAGAAAAATAACTTGCACACAAGGGGCAGAAATATGCCACCATAACTGCGTGATCTTTACACTTAGATTTCCACAACTCTGTAGTAAGTAAACCATCTATAAGAGTTATCGTTCTTTTAACTTCAGGAAAATATGTGTGTGATAAGCATATGAACTCCTTTGTCCATAGCATCAGAAAACTTTTTCCAGATTTATATTAAGGTATGTCACTCCTGACATGCGTTACCTTCAGGGTTTTTTTTTTTTGGGGGGGGGGGGGTATATTTTCGATAACTACTCATGTAACATGTCTCAAAAACGCAAAATAAATAAATAAATAACTGGGAGTCAGTGTGCATCTTACTGATCAATGGTACAAATAACTTGACCTTTTTGCACCTATATTGTAATTTTAGTTAATCACTTTAACTTCCATCATTTTTCATCAGATGTAAGCATGGAAATAATCTGATTTGATGCGAAATAATCTAAATAATAATATTATTATCGAAAAAAATACTGCATTTTAATTAATGCGCATTAATTAGTAATTGTGTGACCTTTTTGCACTAATAAAATATCATATTTTGGATAATAAAATGCTAAACAGACAATAAAATATTTTTTTTATATCAAGTTTTTTTAGCAGTAAGCAAATCTTAGTCGGAAAACAATGTAAATTTTAACTGATTTGTTCAATATCTCTTAAATTTTTGATAAGCTTGTTAAATTAATGTGTAACATTTGTTCTAAAAATATTTATTGAAACCTAAAATTAAATATTCAAAGCATACTTTGATACATCGTCTCAAGCCGCGGTCCGGAGTCCGCATATAGAATGGGAGAGGATCGTACATTTTGGCGTGGTTTGCGATGATGACTTTGATAAGGTAAAATTTTCTCTACGTAAATATATGAAGGGCCAAATTTCGAAGAAATTGAATGAAACAGTTGTATGGATTTTGAGAATTTTCTTCTAAATATCCTTCCACCACAAGAAAAATCCCCCCTAAATCTTATGTCTTATCGATTTTATGATCAATTTTAAAATTAGATATTGTATATAATTTTTATTGTTTAATTCAAATAAGTGATATAAAAATGAAATTGTTATTGATAATCTTGATATAAGAGGTCCTGACCAAACCTTTTTTTCAAAAGCTGACGAGTGAAATACAATTCAAAGTAAGGAAATCCGTAACTGGACTACTTTTCCAAGGGTCTGCATCAGTTAAATTCTTGAATGCATGGGTGGAGGTGTGCACGGGGGGGGGGGGGGGGGTTTAGAAGAAATACAAAGAAACTTGAATGATATGTAAATTTTGACTAAAATTAGTTGATAAATTTTGAGCACCTTTTAAGGTCTAAACTTTATTATAAATCCCTTATGCGGGGCCCTCGTCGCACTTGATTGGTTGTTTCTCACCTCATCTGACTCCCCTCTTTGATGGTTCTGGCCTTTGTCAAGAAAGATTTTTGAATTCAATTTAAAAGAATGAGAAAAGGAAGAGACGGGATAAGAATCATTGTTATAAAGATACTATAACTGCAGATGTCAAGATTCTTAAAATCTTATCAAAAATTTCCAGAACTAGGCATTGTGATTTACAACTAACAAATCTCTGTATTTCTTTCGTTGTTTGGTACCCCCTTCTAACGAATAAGGTTCCGATGTTTGACGCAATCTTTTCATGTAATTTTGTTATGTTCAGTTTTTCGTGTCAAACAAGATAGGATAAGTACCGGATAAATGGAGTAATAAATTAAGCCGTACATGTGCGGATCTAGAGGGGGATGGGGGTGGGGTCCGGATCCCCCTGGAATTTGCAGTTATTAAAAGTATATATATAAGGAAATAAAAATTACTTTGGAACCCCCCCCCCCCGAAAACGTTTGGGAAATATTTTTTTTTGTTTGTCAAGAAATTTTGGGGTTGGAATTTGTTTTTTTTTTGACAGGGGTGGACCCTACCTGGAAAAAATTCCTGGATCCGCACCTGCTGTATACGAACATTATACTGCTTTATGTTGGAGTGTTTTTTGTTTTTTTTTTTTTTTTAATAAGTGTTTTATAGGCATAGGAGAAGGTCTTAAAAGAAATAGAATAAATGATATATAACAAACATCTTTGTGATGATTAAATGAGATTAAAACATTTGTTCATAAAGTCACTTTTGTTTCTTCAAAAACACACTCTACACAGTCATTACTACCAAAAAATGAATTAATAAAATAAAATGAAGATTTTTTTAAAGATTTTTTTTTTCATTTTTAACTTTTATGCTTTAAAAAAAAAAATCCACATGCAAAACTTTCAAGTAAAGGACAGAAAATGCTAGCCGTGTTTTATTTTATTAACTTTGTCAGGCGTTTATTTGTACAAATTCTTAGGCATTTTTCAGGCTGTCGAGATTTTTCTAATTTGAGTGCATCTAGTTTGCTTTCTGTTTGTGTCTTCAATATTAATGAGAAACCGTTTTTATATTTCTTTTTTTTCAAAATAGGAAACAAAGAGAAAAAAGTAAATCTTGATGCGTTTGATGTTTTGACCACTTAAAATTATTCAATAAAGAAAAATTTCTTTTTAATGTCATCCATAATCATGGAGGTAAACATATCAATCACGGACCCCGCACCTCTGACGACACTCCTAGTTTGGTGGGGGACGGCCATTATAAAAGTACCTCCAATTAAAATCTCACCAAATCAATCGATGGCATTAAGCTGTTAACTCATAAAACACCCATCAATTGTTGTGTAAGTGTCCACGATTGTCTGTTATCCACAGTGACATTGAACAATAGATTCCGATTCTGAGCAGACGAGAGAGCGCGGGCTTATTCCCCTCGAGTCTCCGTAACCGAAGCTGAGTCAAACACGAGCTGACGTGTGCGTGCTCTCTCTCTCCCGCGCGTTTTATCGTGATAGTATTCTACAACATGGACTTACAGTCGTAGGACGAGATGACAAACTGTTTTTCTCATGTAATCTTATTTTGTGTCGTCTTTTTTGGAGTTTTAGTTTTCTGTGAGCCTGACCAGTGCTTTGAATTCTGTCACTCCGAGGAGGTAAGAAAACAAACGAAATATTTTCCCATCAATATTCTGGATTTTGCAAATTGCATTTTTGGAAATGCAAATGAGCATTTTATCTCATTTTTGACTGCTCAATTGCAGCATTCATACAATTACGACCATTAAGTATTATCTGCTATTTGTTGACCTTATAAAACTTTTCCGTCTTGCTCAATCAAATCGGTTATTTTCTGACGTTCTCTAAGAATCTTGCATGCAATTGTCTCATATAACGGTTTATTAATGCACAATGTGAAAGAAGACACATTTTTCCATTTTTAACTGCCGTAATCTGAATTTCAGTGCAGCATGTTCCTATCTAAAATATCTGTCCATTTGTAACGAGATGTAACATTATCAGGCCTATCACAGAGTTAAGAACTACAAAACTCATTAAACTTTTTGATAAGTTCGTGAGCTAACTTCTATATGACTTAATTAAAACAAAACCAGGCTGTCTCCCAACATAATCATACACTTGATCTTTTTCAATGTGTCGCAACAAGTAATTATTTTTACATCAGCGGGATAATTTTTTCTCCAAAGTTTTTCTTAAATAGGACGGTTTCGGGAAAAAGTTGTAAATCTCTCGTGCACTTTGATAAAATCCCGTGTAAAATTTTAGGGGGATTGTGTCCGTTTTGGGGTTTTCTTTTCCCACAACCAGATGTGTACAGCATCATACGGCATCAAACTCGTATTATCGTCGATTAATTATCTTATCTACAACTCAACTGGCATACACGAAAAACTGTTGAGGAAAAAAAAGAAGACAAAAAAAGTTGTAAAAAAAAAAGTGTAGATCTTAATATGGACTGTAAAATGTTCTGATTTTATTTTGCGAAGACGATTTGAAATACAATCTTCCCCCTGAAAATGTGCCCCCCGCGGTAAAGACGAATCTCTGACGACTTTCTCACGGTTTTTGGAAATGTCATGTATATACCACTCCTGATGGCTGACATATGGCTGGGACACGGGAAACCCCCGACTACAACTTGTTTTTTTATGCCCATCTTAAATAAAAAGAAACAGCTTTGAATTGGGGTCGGTGTGTGTTACATATGTTGGTGCGCAAGAAATTGCAGAATGCCATAGGACAGTTAGCAAATATGTTCGATAATGACCTATGCTTTATTTTTTATGTTTTTTTTTTCTTAAATCGAAGTCTCTAAAACTATTTTTGTTTATTAAATCGTGTATAAAACTAGTAGATAGATACGGTACGTAATTGATGCTAATTTAATATTTTGAAAAGTTTTATCTTCGTTTGATGTTTTAAACTATGGATTAATTTAAAAAAAAAAAACTCTCAAATTGTTTCCTTTAAAATAACGTCTGTGTATAGCGAAATAAATGGGAAAAAATACTTTGAATTTTATGAAAGATATTCATTGCAAAGAGTTTGACAAAACGTATTTCTCAACTTATTTCAACATTTGTCGGCGACAAAAATTAGCGTAATTTTTCAAAGCAATCACAGAAAAATGTTAAACCAGTTTAATCAAATACAGAAATTCATTTTATCTTAAATGCAAACAAATGTGTACCCCAAGTCCTGTAAGAGGCTTATAATTACATGCTAAATAAAATAAAACAGACGCATAGATTCAAGTTCACTGTGAAAATCATAGAATTCTGTTTACATTTGTTTTTAAAATTTTGAAATCGTGTCAAAACGGTTTTGTTTTTAGATTGATCTAAAGTTAAATTATTTTGTTTTAGACAAAAAAGGGGAAACGGAACCGTTTAAAAAGTTTACTTTCAATTAATACAGAAAGGGGGAAAAATTACGTGAGAGCCGAAGCATATGGTTGATGCCAGAGTGTGTTTAATTTGATAGGTGTCGTCTGACTTTCTTCCTGCAGCTCATTTTCGCTGAAGACTAATTTCATAAAACTTTTTTGTTAAGATGCAGATGTTTGAGAAAAAATATCATTGCGAAAGCTCAAAAGTCACAAGTTTATCTTCTCCCCGTGATGATTGCTACGTCCGCTTTTCTCTCTCTCTCTCTCTCTCTCTTTGCAATCTGATTCCTACACAAGCCCACACCCCTCTGTCCGACTTTACATTTTTACTCAAAATTAAAAAAATGTATATATAAACGTTATTTGCTCGGGAGAAAAGAAAATTATCAAGCTGAAAAGCGTCCTTGTTAAGAAAGGAAAATGTGTTTTAATGAATAATACTTTAAGGTATTCAATGTTTAACAACTATTTTTTGTACCTAATAAATGAATGGTCCGATTTTTAAATCATGGTAGCATTTTGAAAGTGTTATCAAACAAAAAGATACTCCACCAAAGGAATTTACCGAATTTTGATTATTGTACAATTAATTGTACCTTGAAGTTAACATTGAAGTCTATGGGCAGGGCATGATATTTTAAGATATTTTAAAAATTAATTTGAATTTCATACAAATCTCGTGGTGAATATATGCATTAACTCTCTCTTTATTATGATATGAAATAATATGAATCATTCACCATAGATATTTTGAAATTTTTTTTTTCTTTTCATCAAGGGCAGATAACTCTTCAAAAACTTTTAAGGTTCAAAATGACTGGCTTCTTACATGTTATCTGTCATGTGAATTTGGTTCATTTCACTTTCATTGTTATCTAGCAATGCGTTTTTAACTAGTTTAAGATGATTCAACCTTCATTATATACACTGAATACCTTAACGTCGCCTCAATGTTCCCGTGTTTGGTTCTACTCAATCGGCAATCCTCGGCTGACTCCGATACGCTCAATACAAACCTTACTTAGATTCACGTCTCTGTTTTGTCAGAGAATGGAAAAAAAGCAAATGAAAGGGGTAAAATATATGTCGCAAGAGATGTCTTCAATTCCGTCATAATCATGCCAGTATTTTTCACAGGGTCAATATATAAATACAGAAAGGATACTGTCCTTTCCATAGTATTTCCATCTACATCATTGTGGACATTATGCTTAATCGTAATTACAATCTGTCATCCATCATATTCAGTATACATATTTATTCATCCATTTTCATTGTAATTGAAAATATTTTAAAAATTTCAGAAATTTGAAAAAATTACTTTTCGTATTTTCAGATAAATTCTGGTCCGGAAGTTAATGATTTGTATTGTAACCATGCGTGCAAAGTGAGACAGGTGGGTGACGATGGACGTGCATCACTACGATGCATGTCTTATTTATATGTGGACACAATGATGTAATTATATCTACACGAAACACACATTTATTTACTTGTATTTTATTCATCCCTCCCTCCTTAAAAGTGTCATTTAAAAAAATAGAGGGGGGGGGGGGGGGGCAGTAATGCTTCTTTTCGGCGAAGTCATAGCAAGCGATGCAGAATATGTGCAGTGAAACAAATTTATTATCAATTTATGCTTAGAATAAATTCAAATTTAGTATTAATATTCACCGATAAAAAATGGTATTATTGGGGTTGTTCCAGGGGGGGGGGGGGCTTTCTTTAATTATACACATGTAAACTGGTAACAGACCAGGGAGAGATTTCTCCTATTGTTTACTTCCTTAAAGAAATATAATTATATTTACCTGCATACTACAGATAGATAATCATTTTTAGATGCATTTTACAGAATGAAAAACATTAGTACATGTAGTAGGGTATATCTTAAGATACTAACAATTGAATTAACTGAGAACTCTCTTCACCCCCCTTGTTTTGGACTGCTATCTTGGTTAAATAACACTTCAGTAATCCCAGTGAGGAGAGATGTTTCTATAAGCCTGGATTAACCCTATTTACCAAAACTCAGATAGTGAGACCAGAGAGAGATCAGATAAATTGTACATCACAGGGGATTACAGTGCTTCTGAGGCAGATTATAGTTGTTTGGAAACAGTTCTTTTTTCTACTGCAGATAAAATTAGTAGCAAAATTAGTAGCAAAGGAGTTGGAAGAAAAATGAAAAATATTTTCTATCCAACTCTGAATTAGGACATTGATTTTCTGGAATCAGGACATTTATATGTTTAATAGTGTTATAATTTATGTCCTTTTGGGATTAAATGTAGGTCTTTAGACAGATGGTATTGAGTCTGATGCCTGCTTGGGCCATGGCTTTGAAATATCTAAAGCCCTGCTCTTAAATCAATTGACTATTGGGATCTTGTCACTGTATTGGTATCAAGTCCATTGTCTGTATTGGGATCAGGACCACTGTCTATATTAGTTTCAAATTAATTTAGATCAGGCCCCAGGATCATGAAACATCTTAAGCTGAAGTCAAAATCCTTATTTTATACTAAAATGTTGTAGAAGTCAAGCAGACCAAAATTAAAATATTTTTTAATATTACTTCACAAAAGTGTTGTTTTCTGCAAATTTAGATATTAATTTAATAATAAATAAACATTTTACAACCGATTGAAAATCTGACTTAAGTCTAAGACTGTTTCATAATCCTGGGGCCTGGTCTATTGTATTGGGATCAGGTCCATTGTCTTTATTGGGATCAGGTCCATTGTACTGGGACCCGGTCTATTGTTTTATTGGTACCAAGTCTATTGTCTGTTTTGGGATCAGGTCCTTTGTCTCTATTGGGATTAGGTTCATTGCCTGTTTTGAGATCAGGTCCATTGTATTGGGATCAAGTCCTTTGTGTCTATTGGGAGCAGGTTCATTGCCTGTTTTGAGATCAGGTCCATTGTATTGGGATCAAGTCCGTTGCCTGTTTTTGGATCAGATCCCTCAAAATTGTCTTCATTGGGATCAGGTTCATTGCCTGTTTTGGGATCAGGCCCTTTGACTTTATTGTTATCAGATCCATTGTCTGCTGGGATTAGGTCTATTTGCTAGTGTCAGGTTTTTGGACTCTGCTGGAGTTAGCCAATTGTCTGCTGGGATCAGGTCTATTTAGTGGTGTCAGGTATTTGGACTCTGCTGGAGTTAGCCAATTGTCTGCTGGGATCAGGTCTATTTAGTGGTGTCAGGTATTTGGACTCTGCGGGAGTTAGTCAATTGTCTGCTGGGATCAGGTCTATTTAGTGGTGTCAGGTTTTTGGACTCTGCTGGAGTTAGTCAATTGTCTGCTGGGATCAGGTCTATTTAGTGGTGTCAGGTATTTGGACTCTGCTGGAGTTAGTCAATTGTCTGCTGGGATCAGATCTATTTGCTGGTGTCAGGTTTTTGGACTCTGCTGGGATAAGGTTCATTCTCTGTTGAACTTGGGTCTATAGCCCATTGGAATCAGTTTCATTTCCTATTGTACTCAAGTATATTGTCTGCTGGTATTCAGTTTTTTGTTCCATGGGATTAAATCTTTTTGCTGTGATCAGGTCTCTGTTTGACTGCTGGGATCATGTATATTGGCTTGGCTTAGGTCCATTCTCTAATGGACTTATCTATATTGTCTGTTGGGATCAGTTTCATTCCTTACTGGATTCATATTGCCTGTTGGGATCAGCTCCACTTTCTGCTGGGATCAGGTGTATTTAATGCTGGGATCAGGTCCATGACCTAGTATTATAGGCTTGAATAATATCAGTCTTAAGAGACTGTATCTAAATTGAATTGTGCAGGAATTTTTTTTATTTTGGTGAATGGAGTATCATTGGGAACAATATAATAATACAATTCCAAACAGAAGCAGGACCATGTCCCTATACCACAGGACCACACCCCCATACCTCAGGACCTCACCCCATACCCCCACACCACAGGACCTCACCCCCATACCCCTCTCTGTTCTTCCCAGAAAACTCCTGTTAACCATGTGTTGATTGTAGTGTAATTGTTTTGTTTAATAGGCTGATATTTTTGACCCTGAGTTATAATGGTACTGTATATTGTTAGCTTTCCACAGTCTGGGCACTAGTAATTGGATAATAAATGCTAAACTAAGTAAATAAGTGGGAAATTACCAGCTCTGACAAATGTGTTGGTGATGGTGTTGACAAATTCCAGATTCCTATTAGATTAACCAGATCTGTGTTAAGGCTGGGAATTTCAGATGTACATGGGAACTCCCACTCAGCCAGTTATGGTCAACATTGTCCATTGTGTGGTTAAGATCTCTCTTATTTCAAAATTTAAACCTTAATTTTACAATTGGAAGGAGTTTAAGGACTGATTAAATTGGGGTTTTAATTTTTCCAGTAGACCTGGTTATATGAAATATCACTTTAATGAGTATTGATGTTTTATTCACATAGATTTATATAACAGTATTACCTTTGATGTTTATGTAGGGTTGTTTTAATAAAGTGCCATATGCGAGTGACTTTTTGTGTACTTTCTGAAAGTTTCTGAGGTGATTTTCGTATGTGTTTCTCCCAGTAAACATACAGGAAGTCATTGTTTACAATCATTTCCTGTTTCTTTCTTTGTATTTTCTATAAACATTGACTGTGTGTATAGGGATTGTCACCAATTTCTCATGGCCTCTTGATTCTCTCTTATCCAATCAAAAGATCTCTCTGATAATCGGTATTCTTCCCATGGTGCCTCTGTGTGTATTACTGATGATATCAAATAGATAAATCACTTCTACACTACTATCTGTGTTTTGACAACAAGCCGTGCCTTGGAGGATAAAGTGCCGAGGCCGATCACTGGACAGCTCTATTTATTTAGCTGTTGGCCATCTCTTGTTTTTGGTCAGTGAGATGTGAAGATAAAGGGTCATAACTCCTGCTGGGATAATTTGTCCCTCGTGGATTCTGTAGAGACCAAACTGTTTTGATTTATTATCAGAGAAATCCCTGGCTCCTAGTACTACTCTGTTCCCACACCAAACAAGATTCTCACACTGAAGACAAAATTATCATAAATTAGAAATTTTACCCTTGAGTTTTTTTCTGTCTTATTTTGGGGTATGTAGGGTTATATTATTTATAAGTTGATTGGAGCATTTTATAATGGCCAGCATTCATACATATGTACTAGAAATACTAAGTGTTCTAAATTAATTTTTGTCAAAGACCCCTAAAATATGGACAGTTATTTACTAAAATGAAAATATGATTATAGATTTCATTAATCAGTATACGTATATCTAAATGTTTACTTAGTGATTAAGTGAATTAACTGTATTTCAGACATTTCTTTATTTTACATACTTTAATTAGCCCCTTGTATTTACCAGTACATGTCAAGAGAATAACTCAAAAAAAGCCATCATTTTTTAAGTTAATAAATTTTGATAAGTCAATGGAAAAGGACCCTAGTTACATCCGGTATCTCTTAGTGGGTATTGGAGGATAGAAAGATTTCATATTTATTTGTGTGGGATATTTTTAGGAAATACAAATTATATATAAATATTGTTTATTGAAATAACATTAAGCAGTGTTAGTAATGTTAAAAATATTTAAATGAAAATTTTGGTCAAGCATTTTTAAAATCTTTTTAAAATCTCTATCACATACCGTATATACTTGCCTATAAGTCTGCCTGCCTATAAGTCGGTTGTATTTTTTCAGCTAAAATTAGAGGGATTGATTCGCTAAAATATCAATCTTTTTATGACTCGCGTATAAGTCGGATAAAGAGTTTTGGACCAAAGTTTAACTCCCAAAAAACTGACTTACAGGCGAGTATATACGGTAATTAATGTTTTATTCAAGGGAAATCAATGCATTTTAATGAAATAAATTATGATATTGCACATAAAGGGAATTAATCACCTCATTTCTATTACTGAATGACAAGCAGTATTGTTATATTGCATGATGGAATCTGGAGATCCAGTGGAGTTAATAGTAAAAACCCATGTTGCTTTAATAATTTACATTGAGAAATTCAGATCCTTCACAATGAATATTAGATCTCCAATGTGTAAGATTATCATTGAGGGCTATAAATCAATTACTGGGTATGATGAGGTGTTGTATGGTTGTCATTCTGGAGGAGGAAATGGTCAGGCTACCTTAATAATCAGTAATTTTACTAAAGGATTTGTTTTTTACAAATATTCTTTAAAACATTTCATAGAATATGGAAATATAATTCAATCTCCCCACCAGGGACATTCATAACTGTAAATCCCTTATTATTCATTATTAGCTCATCAGAGTCAAAGGCTCAAGTGAGTGTTATTAAAATTTGTTTGATGTTCAACTGTTTGGAGACAGGATTGGGTCAAATGTTGAATTCCTTCAATACCCCCCCCCCTTTTTTTTTCTTCATAGGATTTTATCTGCGGCTCCTGGTAATACATTAAAGTCTTATAAAGCATCAGTACATTGCCATTGTTATCTTACTTCTATATTGTGTTTCAGTGTCAATGGGGATGTGAGCATTACAAAGTAGGACCCGATTCCACCTGTCAGGACACTTGTACTGAGGGATGGACCGGACAGGTAAATTATATCTACATATCTACATATCTCCTTATGTACATACATGTAAACGTTACAAAGTAGGACCCGACTCCACATGTCAGGACACTTGTACTGAGGGATGGACCGGACAGGTAAATTATATCTACTGTAGATACATGTAAACATTACAAAGTAGGACCTGACTCCATGTGTCAGGACACTTGTACTGAGGGATGGACCGGACAGGTAAATTATATCTACATATCTACTTGTGTACATACATGTAAACATTACAAAGTAGGACCCGACTCCACTTGTCAGGACACTTGTACTGAGGGATGGACCGGACAGATAAATTATATCTACATATCTACTTATGTACATACATGTAAACATTACAAAGTAGGACCCGCAGGGTTAGAAACTCCCTAAAATTACAACTCGCAAATAATTGCGAGTACCAAGAAAGTGAACTCGCAATTTTATAAGACTACTCGCAATTTTCATATAAAGTTAAATTTATATAAATTAAATACATGTAACTTAAGGAAAAAATAACTACTGTGCAATACACAAAATACAGCTACAGTGTGACTTTTATTTAAATTACTGATTTAAATCAAAAGCATTGTGTTCTGTAATATTATATAATTTTGCTACAGTTTCAATGCAAAAAAAATCAACTCGCAAGTTTTTGCGAGTTACCTAATTTTTAACTCGCAATTTTGGAATTATAACTCGCGTTTTGCGAGTTGTATATAGTGAATTTCGAAACCTGCGGACCCGACTCCACGTGTCAGGACACTTGTACTGAGGGATGGACTGGACAGGTAAATTATATCTGCATTTCTACTTATGTACATACATGTAAACATTACAAAGTAGGACCTGACTCCATGTGTCAGGACACTTGTACTGGGGGATGGAATGGACAGGTAAATTATATCTACATATCTACTTACGTACATACATGTAAACATTACAAAGTAGGACCTTACTCCACGTGTCAGGACAACATCTTCTGGACCAGACAGGGAAATTATATCCTGATTCAAATACAAACCCAAATCTGTATAGCTTACCCAGGCCCGTAAAACCATATACAGTAAAACTTGTCTAATCCGGACAGCACTGGTTCCAAAGAAATTGGCCAGATTGGACAAAATTCTGGATTAGACAACATTTAAAACTATTGAATTTACTGCAAGGGACTTACAAGTTTACACGTATTAGACAAGATTTCGGATTACACAACATCGGATTACACAACTTAATTATGTAAATACAAACCCAAAACTACATAGCTTACCTAGACAGGTCAAATCATAAATTATACATACATGTATATGAAAATACAAAACCAAACTTGTACAGCGAATTTTATATTATACACATATATTTACATTTCCAATGTCTTTGTCCGAGATAAAATTACAAATTGTAAAAATACTTTATTTCTACATAAATCTACTGGTTCATCGATAGGCGCGGTTAAAAAGAATCACGTGCGGGGCGGGACAAATAGAGACAGAAGCGGGGCTATTAGCACGGGAATTTGCAGAATCAGGAGCATGTAAATATAAGGAATAACTGTCTTATTTTTTGGATTCATGACGATGATCAATCGATTGGCTTGCGTGATAATTTTATGCAAATTATCACGCAAGCCACTCGATTGATCACATCATGAATCCAAAAAATAAGACAGTTATTCCTTAAATAAATACAATACTTACAAATTCAAACTATTATTATAATAGCTGCAAAATTATAGAATATGTATACTTATTTACTCATGCCCCCTCCCCTCAAGTTTAAGTATATTATACAGCAACAATTGTTAATCACAGTGTCATACAACCTTGACCCTAACTTTACAGAGGGGACCTGTTGTATAATTGTACCCTATGTAAATTTTATTGTATTTCCTCCATTACAGAAAAGAAAGTCATTTACTTACTGGATATTTATGATAGATGTTCTTTCTGCATTATATAGGTGATATTTATGATAGATGTTTTTTCTGCATTATATAGGTACTTATAACCTTCATTTTGTAATTTCAGGGGAACAGTACAAGCAAAGCCCGAAGTTTACAACAAGAGGAGGTAGGGTCTTCTAATCGTTATACATAGTTTTTACTGATGTACCTAAGGGGGCTTGGGAGATGTTTCTTTCACCTAAAATTTGGGATGACAGAGTTTCCCAAAGTTTACTCATAAAATCTCCTTTATAAAGTTTGTAGCATTAATTCTCAAATAGGGTTAATGATATCAAGATTTATGGAAAATATGAAAAAAAATGGTGATTTTTTTTTTTTTATGTCTGTGTAAGTTGTCCCAGAGATATTTCAGACTGATGTTTCTATAGTGTGATATGTACATATTATACAAGGGTTAGAAAATCTGGTCTTTGTAGATTGCACATTTAGCTTTGAATGTTAAAAAAGATCTTGTCTGAATGAAATGAATCAGATTATTGATGGACTGTCTGTCATGTTGTGAACTTGTAGTAGGGAAGGTCTGGAAGCTGTGTGCTGGTGTATACATTAATGGTTTGACACTAAACTAATTTACTCATCAGAAACTAAAATTTATATTGGACCTAATGGGGAAAATCCTTCATAAAATCTGAAATCCCCACCAAAGGCTAAGTTTAAAAAAACTGTACATGTTCTAAGTATTCTTAAATCACAGCAAAAGGATTTGACTTCATCAGTGAAATTTTAAATTCAGTAGTGTTAATTGAGGAAAAGGGTGTTTCCCTCCATCAGCGTACCTTTGATGTTTGCCTCTGTGGTTGTATGGGGGGTGTGTTTGTTGTAGGGTGTAACTATATAGGAGCGCGGTAATCAGTTGTGTGTAACAAAGAAACCATCAGCCTTCAGTAATGTTCAGTTCGTCCTGGGCTTGGTAACTTTTAGAATTCGTGGCATGGAATTTCTCTACGATCTGTACTATTCCCTTTGCTTTCTGGCACTGTTTGAGAGTTAGGTACTGGGTTTGAGTGACGGTAATGATAAAAGATTAAGAAAATGGGAAGAGAATTCGAATGTTTTGTCATACAACAATGCCATTTAGTACACACAGTCATGTGTGGTACAGGGAAGGTAGAACTGCCAAGTCATAGTAACATAAAACAACTACATAAAAATCACAAATAATAATACAATGTTAACTGACATAGAAAGTTTTGGATCATGAACCTCAGATGTTCCAAATTATATATATATATATATATATATATATATATATAAGTTATTGGTTTTAATTCAAGGTAAAGTCAAACTTCTCTTTATCTTGAACTCATGGAATTGAGAGAAATTGAGATATCAGAGGATTAAAGATACTGTAAACTTACATAAATTAATTACCGCACCCTTCATCATCGATTGATTAGCACTAGGGCTGGGACGATATATCGAGATATCGATAATATCGATTCAATGTGAGGATGATACGCATATCGATACATATGAAGAAATATCGACATATCGCCCAAAAAATTCTGACTAATGTTTTCCTTTGTTTACTTAACATTTTGGGTTTAATATGTAAAATAAATATGCTTAATATAAATATAAATATGAAATACATAATAATTAAGACCACTTGTGCAAAATAATTAAGTTTTACAACAGATATACAACTTCTTTGAATAAATTATTCTTATATGTGAAGAAATGTTTTGTTCACTTCAATATAAAAAAAGGATTTATAATCAATTTAACATATCGTGATACATATCGTATCGTGGCTCAAATATCGGGATACGTATCGATATAAAAAAAGTTGTATCGTCCCAGCCCTAATTAGCACGATCATGAATTATCCCAATTTGAGCCAAGCCTCTATGTATTTGTTGTTATCTTGTATTAGTATGCACTTGAATTAGCAGTAAAGAAGCAGTGAGAAATGTGCTAAAATATGATAACTGCTAAAATAAATATGTTTACAGTATAGAGCTTTAGGTATACATAAAGAAAATCAGGTAGCAATTTCCAACTCACTTTGACACTCATATATCTGTGGTATTCCAATATTTGAGAGATGTCTACTTCCCTTGTTAATTGTCCGTCTTCAACTATAAACAAGCAAATAGTTGGGCTCCATTGTTTAAAATTACACCTTTCTGATAATTCTTCTTTAGAACTACTTATAATATATTATTTCAGGAAGAAAAGCTGAAACAAATTTTCAGAAGTTGTGTGAAATATGGATAGATGTTGAGTTGGTCAATGATCTTTTGGCACTGTTTATCTGTTATTAAGTAAGTTGAAGACTCGGGTCTGAGAAAAAGAACAACATGTCTTATACAGTTAGAAAAGCCGTATTACAGAGGACAAACCATTAAGGAAACCCTGATGGTAGCTTAGGGCTGATTGATTTCAGATTAACTCCTCAACAGAGCCTTGATCCTGGGGATTTCTCCATCATTGAGCCCTGATCCCGGGGATTTCTCCATCAACAGCTATCTCTCTTTTCTTGGAATGTCCATTTCTTACCTCACTACCAAAATTACAGATCAGGGAAGTCTTGTACACAATTACAGACAGAAGATTGGACATTACAGATCAGGGAAGTCTTGTACACAATTACAGACAGAAGATTGGACATTGAGTACAGAGATCCTGGTGACCCTATGAGGCTGATTTCACTGTAGGTCTGGAATAATTGAGTAGATTGCTGTAGATTGGCTGTGGACTGGTTTTAATTTGTTGGAATACCGTGGGGTCATTGTATATAGACAGGGATTTATAGGACTCCAATGAGAGGAGATCAGTGTAATTCTGGTAATGAGATGGAATGTTTTAACTGAGATGTCATGTATCTTTTGTAATTTCAACAACTCAGAGACATCTGATCACCTTGAAGCCTCATTCAGGCAGAATGCTCATTTTTCAGTTTGATAGATCTTTGCTGAAATTTATCTATAGTGACAAATATGTGACCTCTTCAGCATGTCTTCAAATAAAATGCATTTGGGAAAGATAATAGTTTTTAGCAATAGGATTTCTTTAAGCATAGATGGATAATATTTTGACTTCTAAGAATCCCCCCCCCCCCCAAAAATATATGCAATATTGATGAAACATACAAAGGTATAAACAAGCGATTCAGATTTTCAAAGACAAGAAGTCTCGTCTCTAAGACTTATGTATTGTGTGTTATGAACTTTTTTTCCTTTTTAATTTTAAAGGACTAGTTAAAGGATTAGTACATGTACTATGATGAGAAATTATTGTGTTGTTTAGAATATTAGGTACAAATCTATAGATTAATATTCTGCTGCAAGATATGGAAAATATGAATAATATACGGTCATATTAATAGAAGTAACTCATATTGAACTAAGAAGGTCTGTAGAAAGTTCAGTACTTGTCAGTTATCCCAGATCCCCTAACCTCAGATCTATAATGCTGTCATGCAGGGAGAAATAATGTAATTGGAAATAGATCAGATTTGTAGAAATCCAAAGTTCATTAAGATGTGGCACTGATTCCTTGGCAATGAAGTGGGTATTTCAAAGCCTCACTAATCAGATGTGGTGTTAGGTCTAATATCCAAAATAAAATCCTGCTCTATATTTGACCAGCTCTGTTTCAGGTTTTTACAGAGTGACAGCACTTTGTCATCTTTTACATAAAGTTACTGATTTTTTTTCCTTATATTAAACATTCCTTGATTTATGTATTGGTAGAATACTTTTATACTCATACAAATTAAAAAAAACTTGATGTTTGCAGCAGTGCTGGTATTTAGGATATAGGAAAATTTAAAAATGTTTCAAAAATTTCTTAAACAGTTTCATGTATTAATTTGCTAAATCTCGAACACCAGTATCTCAAACATCAGGGAGATGTTGAAGTGATTTGGTAGTCCCCGAACCACTTTTTTCTTTGCGCAGCTAGGTTAAGGCTGTCCGAAGGCTTAATTTTATGCATTAAATATATACTATTTTATATTGAGCAATGTTTTGATTTCAATTTGTAATCTATGTATACATACACAGTTAAGTTGTAAAGAGAGTTGAATAAGGTATTATAAAAAATCATTTTTGTGATGTCACATGACTGTGTTGATCACTGACGGACACTTATACATTTTCTTAACTGTTGCACAAAAATCGCATCGGCACAAGCGAAAAACAAAATTATTGTGAACGGCTTGTTACATAAATCAATTAAACGTATTCTTGGGTATATATAAGGTGCTGGGGGCAAGTCTGAATTTTATTTCATAAGAAAATATTTCATGAGAAATTCAACTTACCCACATACAAGGGGTCATTTTCCACTCCTCATCGCAATTTATACAAAATAGGATAAATTACATACAATCCCCCAGCAAAATTCAGTTAGAGGACATATTTCTCTAGTAGATTCACAAAGAATATCTTCAATTTATCCTTATTATTCACTTGTGCCAGTCTAATATATATAAGATTTATAGATTCTAACTCTGTCTACAGACACGTAAGGGGTCATTTCACATTCTTTTTTTTCAATTGTTTGAATAAATAAATGTTAGACAAGAAAAAGTAATAACGATATTATACTGCAAATATCTCACCATCATTACAGCCTTAAAACAACAATCAAAACATCAACGTAAAAAATTCTACATGTGATGTGAAAGGAATGTAAAAGTTATGACACTTTCCCAGTCATGTCAGCTCAAGTATGTAGTGACTTGACGTCATATGCCATTATGACGTCATATCTAGGTAGTTCAGAGAAGTTACTGCACTGCAGCTGGAACACTGTGATGTTCTTCGGACAGCCTTATCCTAGCTAGTTTTTTACCCTCGTTAATCTCAGTTCCTCAGATATCTCAAAGTTTAATCATGAGCCCATCAAGTTCAACATAATGAGGTTTGACTGTATTTATTTATCCAAAAATTTTCATTAAAAGTAATTCTTATTTTTGCATTCTCCCCAGAATCTCCTGGATGTTTGTTTTGTATACATAATGGCTGAACCCGAGTTATAAGCTAAAGTAAACTTCTCTGATCACCCTTTGTTCAGCAACCATCCGTCTGCTTGTCAGATCATTATCAGTTTTAAATTAACACATTTTTCAACTTCACTAGGCCAATTTCAGCCTAAGTTGGCAGAAAGTCCTAGCGGTAAAGGACTCCGAATTGTTCAAATGAAGGGTTATGCCCCCTACTATATTTAGGTAGGTAGTCAAGAAAGAGCAGAAATAGGATTGGGTCATTTAAATACATTCTTCTCAAGGCCTGCTGAACTAATTTTGCAAAATTCATCATATATGGGGTGAAAAAAAATCTTCCACAAACAACAAGACCAATCATATTGAATTTCCAAAGCTGCAAAGGCCTTCATTAACAAGGTAACCACTCCGGACTGGGAGGAGGGTTATCATGTAAAAATCCTCATAACATATATACAGTTTGTTTCACTGTCCCAATAACCTCAAAGGACTCCATTTCATGGGGCTGAAATTCAATCTCTTTGGAAGGATTAAATGAAGTTGAAAACTATAAACAGTGCAGATTTAAAAATTACCCCTGGGATTCTGTTGGAGAGATGTGACTACAGACTAAAGCCTGTCTAGAACACTAGTCAATCAGTCTCTCAATTAAAGCTGTCCTGATTTCTAGAAATAAATGTCCTCTAAGGATTATACTCTTGATTTATATAAAACTTTAGGTTTTTTTTCCAAATTGGGTGAGAGGGATATATCCATTGAAAAATAATTGCAGAAAAACATTCTACCCAGGATTCTCTTGTTAACTGTAAAACAGATAGAAATATCAGGAATTGTCAGAGAATTACTTGCCCCGGTGGTCATTAAGACCATTTAAAATTAAAGATGCTTCAAACCCCAACCTCTCCCACACTTGGATGTTCCTGGTGACATGGTGTGCGTAATGAAATTTTGAAGGCATGAGAAATGAGTATCACTTACTTCATCTAAATGCTACGTCTACTATAGATACTTGTATTTCCGCAGTAAGAGAGCAATACATTGGCTGGAATCAGATAAGTCAGGGAGATGTTGACCACAATGGCTGTTTGTTAGATCTCTGTGTTAGATAGACTGACTGGAGAAGTTAGGTACAGAAAACAAAGACCTTCCGAGATCAGGGGAAACTTAATTTATTTGCGATTTATGTTGGGTCAGATTATCTGTTTATTGACTGCTGGAATATTTGCTGCCAACACAGAAAAAAATAGTACACAAAGCAGTTCCTGTATCAGGCTGTATGGAACAAGGAGTGTGGCCGGATTAAGTTCACATATTCTAAATCAAATTAAGCAGCTATTTGCAGCCAAAGGTATATATATCAAATTATGTGGCCCATAGAAAATATGAAGGATGAGGGGCTCAGTCATGTCTCTGGTAGAGTTAGATAGCTTTTCGCTATGGAGATAAAAGCCCACATATCAACTTGACATTAAATAGGAGGCTGAAGTTTAACCCCCCCCCCCCCCCCCCAACACACACACACACAAAAGGCAGTCTTGACAGTGATTAGATCGCTGGCCTAAGTTTACATCAAAATAAGCAGTTTTCACAAGAATTAGATAGGAGGCTTAAGTCTACCATGTCTACATGAAGACAGGCAGCCTTCACAAGAATTTGACGGGAGATTTTTAGATTTTATTTATAGAAGTTTTAATTATATGATAATGTTCTTGTTGTTCTCTCATGTTAGACAAATTTGATTGGTTTAAAAAAATTATTAAAAAATACTTTTACCCTACCATGTGCATAAACCATGTCCTCTGGGTAACAGTACATCACAATGGTTGATAATTAATGCATGAAGTTGGGTAACAGTTCCGTATAAAATTGTAAACTGTGCAGAATGTTTGCACATAGATTCCCCATAGTTTAGATGCATTCTACATGCAGTATAACCAAAAAATATTACATATTTTAGATTAACATGTGAAATTGTTACCCTTGAAAAACCTTTGTTGACCTTGGCTTTGCCTCGGTTAACAATGGTTTTTGCAGGGTAACATATTTCGCATGTTACCCTAAAGAATGTTATATTTTTATAATACATGTACAGTGTTTAACTACACATGTAAGAAAGTACCTTCCATTTCTTCTGATTGGTTAATTAAGGACATACGCAGTGTACCTTACCTACTGATAATTTTTCAAGATATTCTTAATTTAAGATTATAGTGCCATCAGATGTTCGTAGACAAAAAATCAGCAGACATTACCAGGGGTTTTGAAAAGATATCAATTGATGAAAATTTCTGTATAATTCAAAGAAAAATGTACAAAAATTACTTAACATATATTCTAGATGTTTTGTTTATTAAAACTTCTTTTAGAAGAAGTGTACAATAGCATATATAGACATTAAAATGTAGCACACATTTCCTTTAAGTTTTGGAACTCTTCAACTCCAGGGAAAAAGACAATAAAGTTCAAACTACGTTGCGTATGTCCTTAAATAAGATTAGCTAGTATTGATTTCATTTGTTAAACTTTGCTATGCAATTTCGCATCAAAGAGAAAGTAAAAGTGATAGATAAGATGCTTGTTGTTAACAGCTTATGAGAAATAGAGTATTCCTTTACTGTGGACATTAACATATTGCTCACAATTATAAACTGTATTCTCATGATCAGCTGATGATTTAGCCTGCAGTTTATCAGAGGCTTAGAAGATCTTTTATATGATAAAGCAAGTTTGTTTTGACAAAATAATTACCTGGTAATTACCCCTCAACAGATAAAATTCACTCACAATAGCAGCAGGAAAAGAACATTATATTAAATGGAGGACTGAACAGACTGCAGTGAGATATAGGTCTGACAATACATGGAGTGACACGGCTGTAGTGTCAATACTGCACCTAGTGGAGAGTTTATTCCTAATAATCTGTGAGATTGGTCAATTAAAAACCTATTACTGTGCTAGCTTATCAGTGGGGCTCTGCTACTCTTTACTTCGGCAGAGTGAGGGGTGTCTGTCAGTACAGTGGTAATGAGGTAATGATAGAATTGCAGAGATATGGGGGCAGAGAAAGTGATGTCTGTCAGGTGTAAACAGGTGGTAATTCTACCTGGGCCACCCTTAAAATAACCAGGATGGAGTTCACCTGTTGATGTTTTTATCAAAAATAAATGACACAATCCATGTTGTTTCCTTTTACAGGGATTGTGTACCATAGCAAAATAACTGTATAACATTTAAGCTTAAATTACATGCATGTCATGAATAAAAGATATGAATAAAGATTGTCTAGGAATACAGTTGCTTTAAAAGAAAAGTCTTTCCCTAACTTCACCAATGTTTATAAAACAAAGAGATCAAGGCAATTTTGTATTGTGTCTGTCATTTGGATGGTTATAGAGAAAAATACTTGACATTTAAGTTTTGTATCGATACTACAGTAAAGTTAATGACTGACAGAGCCACAGAGCTGCAGTAACGTGTACAAAATTATCTGCATCAATAAACGCACTTCCTGCAACACAATTTTAAACAGTGTCCTCTAGTATTAAGTAGTTATGAATGGCAGCTTTCATTGCATTTTGCAGTCAGGATTATTTTTTTGCATTGGGTATCATGTGGAGATATTGTTATTAGTACATACAGCAGGGTACTGTACTATTTTAAGCCTCGAGACGGAATACCCAGGATTTCCTGCAACTATCAGGAAATGGTTTAATTGGAGTCATTTGAGTTTTCCCATTTTTGGATGAATGGAAAATCTTCATGAGAAGCACCCAGGGAAAATTTAAAAAACTGCTACAAAAAGTTTCAGTAGAGAAGCCATTGAAAATGTCAAATTAAGGTTTTGTAGAACATGCAGGAGGGAAATCTGAAACAGAGAACAAAAAAACCAAAGTTAATCTTGATCAAGTCTTTGTGGACAGGGGATGCTCACTTCACATGGCACCTGATCCCACCTCTGATGTCTTAGAGGTCCGTGTTTGCTCTGCTCCTATTTTGTAATGTTTAATGGACTTTTGAGCTCGAAAACTGTTTGTTATCACCACATATTTCACTTATAGTCATCAATTGCCCTATTGGGTCTGTAGATTTGAACAGGCAAGATGGAATTCTGCAGGAAGGGGTCAGGTAGCTAACATCAAACATTATCAAATGACAGGTACCAAGGCCACTGTAACACTAGGTTTACAAAAAAATGGCTGGAATTTTACTACAATTCTACAGGTACGTAGATTCCTGACGGAGACATTCTGTGTGGCTGTAATTTCTATCAATCGCTCATCAAAGCTGACAGAACACTTAGAGTAAACATGCAGTACAAGAGAGGGGCTCTTGATCCCCGCTTAAGCTGGAGCATGTATATTTGAGGAGTACATTGTTTATCTGTATCTATATACACCTACAGTGAAGTGAATACGGGAACACCAAGTACACACTGTTCCCAGAAAAAACTCACTGGCAGCGAGAACCTAATTAATACAGAAAACAAATATCTACACCTGATTATTGTAAAAGATCATCAATTTAACTTATCAAATCAGGAATTTGTAGAATCCTGTAATATATTGCACATTATTCCAAAGGAATTAAGAATTTGAGAGCTTCAAGTGATCTTATGCCGTGATATAAAGTCTCAGAACCACCCATTGCACTTACGACATTTAAGCTGAGAAAGGAAAAATGAAAATCTTGATGGAAGAACATGCAGACAAATAATTTACATCAAGAGGACATAATTTAATTATCATGAGCTACCTTTGCCATGAGGACATAATTGATATTGAGCCATACCTTTGTCAAGACCTTTTTGATGTAGGCTAACATTTATATTTCTGATTGACAGACATAAATATCTCATGTATTTAAGAAACATGAGTACTTGAAAGAATATTTAATTATTATAAATGACAATCAGGCAATGAAAATGTTTTTTATATATAGACAGACCTTCAATAATTTTTCAGCAAGAACATCAATAAAATGAAAAATAAAAAAAAATTCCTTTCTTTTCAGAGCCAGTATTGTAGCGAAGGATGCCTCCGAGCACTGAAGACATATGCTGACCAAATTCGAGGTATGTTAAACAAAACTCAAAATCAATACATATACACAAAGTATAACAAAGAACTCAGATCATTCTTACAACAGAATGTTAGATGATGCAATGTCAACATACACCTGGGATAGCTGGTGTCTACAGATTGCCAGGAAAGCTATCCAAAAAAATAAACAGCAGCTGTCAGAGTGCCAACAGAGGAAATTCTGGCAGACTTCTTGCGCTGTATTGTGTTTTTTTGTTGTAATTATTGTTTATAGAGATCATGAGATATTCTCTAGTTATGAAGATTGGTTATATAAGATTTAACCGATTTAATCATCAGATTTACATACCGGTGATTTTTTTGTTCTACCATATGCTTTATTAATATCACTATATAATTAATTGTGAAAGCATTTAAATGCTTTTGAATTAGTTAACAATTCATAAAAAAATAAGTCTTTTTAAATGATTTGATATTATATTTTGATTAATTAATTCATTTGAATTGTATTAATGGCTTTGATGAAATTGGAAATGGTGATTCAGAAAAATATATTTATTTCCAAAATAATATCATTAAAATCTCAAGGACAAATAAAATATGCCTGCATGCAGTTTTCTCTTGTACTCCTCCATCGTCCTACAGTGGTGATTATTTTCAATCACAAAACGTTGTTTGTGTTCTACTGTTGAAGAATAACAATTTAATTTCTCGGTGGTTTATCCCCTTTCCAAATTACAAGAGACGTGGGATCAACCAATTCTTGCTCTGTGGTTCATATCCATCAAAAATCTCAATAATTACTGCTATAATTAACATACATTGTTGATTGATATTGATTGAAACAGGGTACCATGCTGACTGTGCAATACACTAAGTTTGATGGGAGTGATAAACTATAAAGTTCGAGTAAAGCAATATTTTTACATAAAATCCAATATTTTTCAGAGCAATTTTATTATTGAAATAAAAGGGATAAAATTGGAATCTAGGTTTTATAGTTTAGTTTAATTTTCAAGAAATGTTTATATGAGTTTTTTTGGGGTTGAATATTGATGTGCCTGAAAGATAAATTAATAAATTAAAAATTAGAACCCAGCTAGGAGATTTAAAAATATTCCAGTGGTATCCTGTATGTTTGGAATACTTAAAAAATTCATCATATCACAGAAGACATTGTTTTACAATAATGACACAATCAGAGATAGTTTTGTTTTGTTTTTTTTTTTCCATGTCTTGCCTTATATTGAAAGGAGGTTGCAATCTTATTTTCCCTGCTTTTGCCCAGCTGCAGAATTGTAGCTCTTTGTAAAAAAAAAATATATATATTGATATACTGGAGAGCTACAGTTTCACCATAGAAAAAAACTGTATATTTATTGAGCACAAAAATTTGTGCTCATTTCTAAATTTATTTCTCAAAATTCTTACCTAAACTGTACGAAAAAATCCTTTGAGCTCTGTCAAATGCTCTTGTCCCAGTGGACATCTGCACAAAGTGCATGTATTGGACCAAATCTTGTCCTCCAAAATGGCAGTATAGACAAGCGAAATCTACAGTGTCCTCAATTTCAGAAGGGTCATTTACAAGCCTTATGGAGATTGTTTTGTTGTGGAAATAGTAAAAGAATATGTTAGGTACACATGGTTAGTATTGTTTTGAGATGGCAGTTTAAATATAAGGAGAAATAAATTGAGAAAAAGCACCCTTTTTTGTGTGCAATAATATTAAATATATGTGCACTTTTTTCAATGAATGGCACAGTAACTCTCTGGTCATCCATCCCGGACCAGTGAGCTACAGATCTGCAGCTAGCTTTTTGCCTTTTCACAATTTGTATTGTTTAAGGGATTTTTGTGATTGATCACTATTTTTTATCTTCAATTTTTATTAAAATGAACAATATGGATGCAGGGATTTTTTTTTTAAAATTTATAATTGTGAGTGTCTGCAACATGATAGGTATAGATTATTATAAGGAATGGAAAGTTCACAGATACATAGATTTTTTATGTTGGTTGAAATTACAGACTCCTGGGCCATAAAACTTGACGAGCTCACTAATTTTCATCTTGGTCTCACTTTTACATAAGGAATGAATAGTAGAAAAGTAAGATTGAAACCAAAAGTAAGCTCATCTAAGTTTTATGACCCCGGAACCAGTTTCCAGTTTTGTATAAGTTACACTTGGTTATTTTTTGTTACTTTCTGCAAAATAAAAAAATGTTCCAAACAAATTTTCTAAACTGATATTTTCATTTTTTGCATTTTCTGTTTTGGACAGGTTCAATATTATATTGGTTTGTCTTTTTTTGTTTACAAAAAATGTTTTAGTTGCTTCAGCATCTTCAATTATAACTTTCACAGTCAGATATAATTTTTTATGTGTTACTTTAAATTTTAATGCCAATAATATTTTTCGGAGAACAGCCATTAAAAGACCAAAAACTGGGAACAAACTCATTGGAGTAAAAATTTGAATTAGTAAAACTCTTCAAATAAATTGAAAATAAAATAAAATTTTCATTAGGAGTTGATTTGTTTTTAAATAATATCCAGATTCACTAACTTGCAACATTTTAAACAGTATGTTTGTGATGAAAATCAAGATATTCAAACAGTTAATTCTGAAATATGTGTAATAGACATGTACAGGTCACAAAGTTGCTCTGGACTGTGAACCATTAGATGTCATAACAGTTAGTAGCTAGAAAGCTATTATTGTATTCCTCAACACATAGAATCCTTTAATTTAATATATAATGAATTAATGGCTTACATTTCCTCCAAATTATTGACACAATTCCACAGGTCAGGGTATTACAGTATTAGTAGCCTATTGCCCAACACTGGACAACAATGGAAAGATTTATAATGAGGAAGGGGGATGTAAAAGCCAATTCAATCAGTGTACCAGAATTTCATGCAGGGTTCCTATTAAGAATACAATGAGATTTCCTATTTATTCAGTAAAAACTGCTAAATCAATTTGAGTTGTGCGGGTTTGGTCTGCTGGCAGTAATAAGAGGCCGAGAATGTACGCATGTATTAGAAATGTAATAATCGTAATAATCGGTTAAGTTCAGAGTTCTGATAAATCTGATTTAATTATTGTTCATATTTAATTGATTGGCGGAATTTCCTGTCATGTAATCTCTGTACCAGACTCTGTTGCGTACTCAGCAGTTCAGCAGAAGGCGACCAGAACTTAGATTTTTACAAAGATCTCATATTTCACATGAAATATATTTTACTTGTTATAGAGATGGTTAATAAATCATTTCGAATTCTTGTAAAATTCTAATTCATGAAACTTTACACTAAATATTTTTACTGAATGAATTAAGAAAATTCTGTTAATTTTTAAGTTGTAATTATGTTAGTTTACAACTGACACAATATACAAACATAATATTAAAGTTGTTTTTTTTTTTACTTCAGCAGTTGTTATTTCCCTATCTCTTATTTAGCATGATTGATTACATACTGGTCAAAATATTTTCTTTAAGTTGATCGTGAACAGATGGGTAATTTCTTGCTCTGTTTCTTTTCAGGCCTGTACACACTGAAGCTTTATGATGGACAGCCCTAGAGTTGTTCTCACTTTTTTGCATGATTAAGAAGTGGTTAGCTGGCATATTTTTGTAGATTAGTAATTTTTTTTTGGCCAGCTTCTCTGAAATGAGATTATTTTTGGTTGTGAGGGTTCATGTGGCTCTTTGCTTATGCCTGGTGAAAATTACCATTTTGTATCAGGATTGTGTCAAACGTTTACTTAAACTGGAGGACAAACCTGACAAAGACATCTGACAATGCTTTGATTGCTAAGTAATTAGATATTTGACAATGTAGAAATTCTTAAAGAGTTGTTAGGGCTTACAATGTATAGTCTTGTCAGTCAATTAACCAAATGCCAACAAAAAAGAAAAAAAGAAAAAAAAAAGATGTGAAGTCTTTATAGAGATGGAATTAAATCAAAAATCTAAAAATACATTTGATTATACTTACATCCCCCTCCCCATATATGAAAATAAATCAAAATATCAGGGAAAAACCATAATTTTTAATTAGCTGTCCTTCATTATATAAGCTACGGATGACATAATGTTCATGTGTCATGGGCTCTGTAGTCCCTGGAGGAGAGGCTATCAAATGAAAAAAGAATTCATAATAAAAAAAAAAACAAACCTGTCTAATCTTTTTAACCCAGGAAAGATTTTAATTTTGTATTCATGCACTAAAGATACACCAAGTTAAATATTCTGTACAAATCAGCATGTCAGACCATGGCCAACATTGACTGGTTGTTCATTGACTGGGGTTATTGTAAGATCTGAAGAAACATGAGATCAGCTCACAATAAAATTAATCGCGTAGAAATTGATAAATGTGAAAAAATTGTAATGCTGATTTACTAATGGACAGTACAATTAACTCTTTTTGTATAGCCCAGTTACCTCCCCTCCCAGTACCGGAGCTGAAAAATGGTAGGAAGAGTCATTCATCTGTGGTACTTCACTGGAACACTGCGCGGTTGCCTAACATCACCTATTATGTCCAGGCCCGCATGCCAGACACCACCAGTACTTGGGAGATCACCAGCGCCACTTGGTTGGAAGGAGGGGATATTAACGTCACCAATCTTAGACCATTTGTAACTTACAAGGTAAACTCTTCACAATTACATGTAAGTAGGCTGGTTGATGTTTCAGGTGTATTGAAATAATTATTGTTAAATACCAAGTCAAAACTTTGAATTAGAAGTAAGTTAACTTGATTTTAGAATTATGTCATATATATTGAAATTTTGAATTGACTTTTGTGCCTTTAAAAAAGATGAGTTTTGTGTGCCTACAGAGTGATCATAACGTTGCAGGATACGTCGTAACCGAGATTTATTTAATAGTTTCAGATCCTGTTGGTAATCACTCCCAGGGACTTCTTATCCAGCAACGAATCAGAACCAATCACCACAGAGCCTTACGGAGGTATGACCTATAAAAAAGGAGATGTTTTAGTAACCACCCCCCCCCCCCCCCACACACACCAATCACCACAGAGCCTTACGGAGGTATGACCTATAAAAAAGGAAATTTTTAGTAACACCCCCCCCCAACCCCACACACACACCAATCACCACAGAGCCTTACGGAGGTATTACCTATAAAAAAGGAGATGATTTAGTAACACCCCCTCCCCCCCCCCCCCCCTCGACACACACACACATACACACAAAGAGAGAAGGGAAAAAAATAGAGAAACCTGATTTGTATGAAGGGCATCATGGAAGATGCTGTCTGTATTTCATTGTTGTTTGATACACAAATACACTGTACAGTGTCCAAAGGCTCAGGCAGCTCAGTGTTCTTCAAGATTAAAATTTAAGGTTGTATGGGATACACTCTATTGGGATGGAGGGGGGCTGTGTAGTAGAGTGAGTAACTGTATAATGTGTATATAGTTGACAGATGTATGAGAGGTGCCAACAGTTAGCGTCATTATTTATATATGATATAATTGATAAATACAGTATATATAAACTACTCGTCACTCTGTGCAGTTTACTAATATACAGAGGGTACGGAATTAATTTGAGACATACATACGCATTAAGTGTTCGTCAAAAAATGTGTGGAACAGCGTAGACATTGAGGTGACATTGAGGTTCTGAGGTCACAGATGTCAGGGGTGCTGAAGTTTAATGAGATGGAAAACATTACTCCATGTGTTAATGTACAGTGTATGATCTACAGCACTAAGTCTGACCTCTCTTCATTATACCATGTGTGCCCAATCTTGAGACAGCTCTGCTTATACCTTCTTCTAATAATAAGAGTCATTTGTCATGATTATTCAACTGCTCAGCCAATTTGCACAGAAATCCTGATCATCAGGCTGACAAATTTTTATGTCTGTTTGAATGAGACTCTTGTCTTTGAGGAAATCTGTTGGAGCTCAGAGCCTGCTACAATGCAGAGTGTCATAGATCCATTATATTAAAAGAATCAAAATTCAGAAATTAGCTAACAGATGCTGAGCATGCATTTGTACATTGTACCAAAACAGAAATAATTCTGTTGAATTTTTGAAACCAAAGCATTGCTTTTGTGTTCTTATTTATTTGTACACACTCTAATGATTTTCAATTTTAATGTACTTAGTTCCACTCTCATTTCTTCTGATTTTTTTCCTCTTTAGTCTAATTTATTTTTTACATTAAACAAAAAGAATTACTGTTTTATGAAATCCCTCATCTGACTATGACAGGACCTCATCTAAATCAGTATTAGAGTTAATTCATAAAATTTTCGAAGTCAGCAAGCTTTTTATTAGAAGAAGAATGTTTTTATTTTATGACTTCCTGTAGCTGATGTTGATATTTTATTTTATGACTTCCTGTAGCTGATGTTGATATTTTATTTTATGACTTCCTGTAGCTGATGTTGATATTTTATTTTATGACTTCCTGTAGCTGATGTTGATATTTTATAAGAAGAAATGGAGTAAATGTTAGCCAGGATTTCCTCTGTATTTTTCATCCTTGTATCATTTAAGCTCCCTCTGAAGCTCCACGTATTTCTGATGTTTCATCACCCACACCAACTGTTATCTCCGTGACCTGGAAACCACCCATGTATACCAATGGACAGTTGCTAGGATACTACTTAACCTTGACCCCTGTAAGCCCCCAGAGCAAGGACAAGAAGAGGACCATCAGAGAGGTGGCTCCGGATACCACCCAGTGGACGTTCAGGCAGCTGAAACCTGCCCAGGTTTATCTAGTGAATATATCAGCGACAAACTCGGCTGGAAAAGGCCCGTCTGCGTCTGTTAATGTAACTACCCCCGGTCCAGGAAATTGTAAGTTAATTGTAGAAACTTAGAACTTAAGGAATTTTAATTCTGCATTGTATCAAATGCTTGCTTCTCTTTGTGTTACATACATGGTAGCTGTATTTTTTCTTTCCTTTTTTTTTTTTCTTAATAAAAACGGCAACAATTAATTGATGTTGGGAAGCATTGACTATCTTCTATTTAGGCACCCTAAGGCTCTTTTAAAAACCAAAAAAGCAACATTAAGAAAAAATATAAAAAAAGAAAAGTACATATACAAATACCAAAAAACCCGTAATTTGTATCATGAAATCTGGATTAAAATAGATGCCTGCAGTCTTTAACAGGTCTGATATTCTTTGGCAGTCAATTAAGCTTCATTTGTAGAGAAGGTGGTATTTTTAAAATAATAATTATACTGAAAAGACGTCTTAATAAAATTGTTAATGAATAACTGAAGATGAAATGTGTATCTTGAGGGTAGTCAATTTGAAATAGTAATTACCAGTGGGATTCAATTAAAGAAACTCATTAACTGATGCTGCAGTCACATCCCATAGTCAGGGATGGGTCGGATTTACTGTGAAATAATGCTCAGATATGTAAGTTCTGTCTATTACGTCAAGAAAACTCACGGCAAACATCCAGATCGTAGAGTAAAAAAATTTGTTATAATCTACTCCACAATAAAGAAAAATCCTGTGTTTATGGTAACTTTCACTTAAACAGAAACATCTGTTTCCAACTGTGATACAGGCAATTCATAGTGAACAAAAAATAACTTTATTAATTAGTAGAGTAAGTTGTTTGTAGTGTAAAAATATAACTTTGTAGGGAGTCTGTGGCTGCTACCTTATTTTTGGGAGAGAGTCTGCAGTTCATTTTCTCAAAGAAGTAAAACAAAATGATTTCTTTAATGTCCTTCAGGTCAAGGTCATGTAGGTACATGGACTTTTTTTCTGACTCAGAAAACCTGATATTCCTACACCCAGAAACTTGAAAGTTCTGTAGCTTCTGAAAGGAAAATGAAAGAAATTTTAACAGACTCTGAGAAAATTTAAGGCAAAGAAGCTTAATGTTGTAGAATATGATGTAATTTTCACCCTCTCCCCTTCTGAGTTTTTTGGGGATAAATTTCATGTTCTAAGGTGCCTTACCTTCCTTCTATTCTCCAGAAGTCGTCCACTGACATATTGATTCAACAGAAATTGAGTTTTTCTCTGTAGTTTATCTTGCAATACACCACAGTCGAGTCAGACTTACTCGTGCTGGAGGAAATCTCTCATCTTGTGAGTTCAGTCTGAGTCAATGCTCCGTTTCGCCGTTTCTATGAAATCATACCCTGAGCTGTCTCTGCCTGCCTAATCATTGCTGGAATTTATCAGCTTCAGAATTAAAATAAAGAATGATAAAACTTTGTAAAGGATCAATAGAAATGTTGGATTTTTGCAGTACATAATTCTTCTTACATTATTAAAGCTCTTCTTTTCATGCTGTGGCAGAATTTGTAATTATTGCAAATGTATGCAGAGTTGAGGGTTTCTGTCTAAAAATTGTCTATTTTCCATGTGTTTCTATAATCCTTTTAACATGTTTTGCCTATATGATGGATTGCGTGATTTTAGAAGTCGTTTGTTTTAATTGTCTGCACATTACTCCCAATTTATCTTATGCTCTTTTCCGTTTTGATTCATTTCCATCATTAGAATAAGGGAGGTAACTCTGGCTGAAACCGTGATCTGTCACAGCGGGAGTAATGTAAGTTATGTAAATATATGGCAGGTTTTAATCAAGCTCAACAGTCAGTTTACTTGTCTGTCTGAACTTGGCTGGAGTTTATACTGCAGGTTTATCAGGTTTGGACAACTTCCCTGTATGGAAATAAGAACAAAACTGAAAATCACTTAGAAACCACATTTTTACACATGCCCTCTACAGCGTTCATATTTGTATTCAATCCAAGGTACCAAAAGTGACACTATATCCACGGTGTCAGATTTTCTTAAACCCATGTCTTATTCTTCTGCATGCCAGTAGTTTTTGTTAAAGGTAGAATATTTAATATGTACAATCTGTAAATTTTAAAATAATTTAAATAATCTTCAAAAAAATTCAAACTTCATTAAGGGTGTGTCTGAATATATACATGCTGTTATCTGATTGGACAGAGAGACGTCTATTATGTTTAGCTTATAGATATAAAACTCTTTTAATGACTTTTAATTATTGAACTCTGTAGTAGTAATTTTTTCATTGAGCTGAAATTGAAGGCATGGTGGGCAGAAACTTAGTTGATTATTGACTGAGAGCTATAAGTCAGCTTTTAGAAGCTTTTTTTATGTGAATTAACTTGATTACGTCTCTGAAGTTTTCTTCATTACTTGAGCAAATTTAATTGTCGATGCTCCTTGATCAAATACTCTTTATTACAAGGCAAACATAGCCCTTCTGTAAATTTCTATTCTTATTGGCCAGCGAGGCTCAAGTTTGTGTCTGAAATTTTAATAATTAATTTTCAACATAATTCTGAGGACTTTACAAATTAATTCAAGTAAAACTGCCGTAGCTAAAGTTGAAGAAACTCCTATAGAGTCAGACAAGATTTCAAACTGTTAGAGTTATGAGTTTATAGAATTTTACTTTAATAATACGACTCCTCAACAAATCAAAAATAATTACCTCAACCAAGACTGAAACAGACAAGAATATTATGTAGTCTGTTATTATGTTGCTGATTTTGTGCTTTAAGAGGTATCATGCTTAGCATATTTGAATCTCACCCAAATATATTTTACTTAAATAATTAAAAGTTCAAGTTCTTGATAATTAAGTCAGGTGCATGCATTATCTTAAAGTTTATATGCACAATTCTAATTTAGTCAAGAAGCACAAATTTACCATGTCTTTATTTCAGTAACATATCCAATTCAAAATATTTGGAATGAATCTCAAAAATGAAGGTTCAAAAGTAGCTTTATGTTATTACAGACTATGTTCCAGGCCAAAGTTTAAAACAGATTCAGCAAGCTCTGAATTACAGTCAGTCCTGGTTATTTCAAACTCAATGGGACAGAAAAAACTTCCAGATTAATTATCAACAAAAAAAGCAACTTTCAAATGTTTATAGTATAATTTTAATTAAGAGAACAAAAAAAAGATATGTATATTGATGCAGGTATATTTGAATGATAAAATTTATTATTAATGTCAATTAAATCCTCGAAGTGAGAACTATGTAAGCTAGCAGATTAACTCCAATACTCTTCTGTTTTTTACACAGAATTTCCCTTTTCTAGACTGGGATAATTATAGTGCTGCTATCATTTAATGATTTGTCATTTCAAGCTAAAAACAGGAAACATGTATCATTAAAAAATCAAAAAGTAATTTTACCAACAGAAATTTGCTATGAAAATCACACTCTGCCCCATTTTATTTCATGGTTTGCCAAAGGCAAGATAGATGTAACGAAGAAGGAGCTATTTTTACAGTGACATAATTTAGTAGAAAAAAAATATTTTTGTAAATTATAAGATGTTTGATAATTAAGAATGCATTATAATCAGATCTCTAACTATTTTGATTGCATCACAGAAATGTGCAGTAGATTTAACCTTTTTTTTTTACCTATAGGGGAGATTTGACAGAAGTTGTTTCACGTACATTCTGCATGTTGGTTTTTCGTTTCTGCTGAAATGTTTAAAGAATATGATACATTGACATAACACCAGAAGACCTGATTAGCCGGAGGTTTCTTGTTTATAGAAGTGGCTGAACTGTACCTGAGTCCCCAGTATCTGTCAGTTCATTCTCACTGAATGTCTATAACAAAACACTGCTTTTCTCAGCAGCAAGGCTTTCAGTATAATTTTTGTTGGTAATACACAAGTTCAGTGGCCCAGCAGGTTAAATAAAGCATGCAGAAAAGTGCAGTGCACAAAAAAAAAATTACTGGGTTAAAACAAAAATTCATGGCTTGATGTCAATTTTCACAATGTTAAAAATTTGACTGTACTGGAACATATCCCAAGCGACATACAATGTTAGAGAAATTTAGATTAATTATTTTCACATTCTAATGTATATTTAAACAATGAAGTGCTTTCTTTGCTTGTTAGTATGGGAATTAATGTTGCAGCTGTTGCTGGAAAAATGCATATGTAATTTTTTTTCTGCAATAGCTGCAATTAATTCCCATACTAACAAACAAAGAAAGATATTTTATTATTTATATTTATATATCTGTACAAAAAATCATCTAAAGTAGGATTAAGTAGATTAAATATTGTATTATTGACAAGTATTTCATTGTACGTTTCATTGATGGAAGAGCCACTGTTCAAGAAATCTTTACAGGTGTTATGCTTACTGCTGTTTAATGACTGATAAACAGCAATGGTTTTCTTAAGAAATAAAGGAGATGATATTCAGTGGATGGAAATATACAGTAATGAATTGAAAGTTAAATAAAATAATATGGTAATTTAATACTTTAATAGATTCACTTCTAAATCTATATGACATCGATGTAAACTAATTAAATCATGTAACAGTACTAGTTTTGTGTACCTATATATATATATATATATATATATATATATATATATATATATATATATATATATATATATATATATATATATATATATATATATATATAGATAAAGCACAATTTACAACAACTCTTAAACTAACATAACTGCCCTAAGTGAAGAAATATTAATATAGAAAGCACAAAGAAATTCACTTTTATAAGGATACCCACTTCCGCCCCAGCCCGGGGTTGAACTCTCGACCTACGGAATCTGTCTCCTAGCAGTACAGGAACAGCGCGTTAGACCGCTCGGCTATCTAGGCAAGTCTAAAAACTTGCTTTCAATGCCGATGGAATTCTCACAGCGCTGCCCTACACTACATGGTCATTGAGAATGGAAGTGAGATACAGTTATTTGGACATTAGCTTTATTAGAGGATCGTTACCTTTGTGCTTTCTATATTAATATTTCTTCACTTAGGGCAGTTATGTTAGTTTAAGAGTTGTTGTAAATTGTGCTTTATAAATAAAATTAATTTCATTACAACGTGTATTGGTAACGATCCTCTAATAAAACTAATGTCCAAATATCTGTATCTCACTTCCATTCTCAATGACCGTGTAGTGTAGGGCAGCGCTGTGAGAATTCCATCGGCATCGAAAGCAAGTTTTTAGACTTGCCTAGATAGCCGAGCGGTCTAACGCGCTGTTCCTGTACTGCTAGGAGACAGATTCCGTAGGTCGAGAGTTCAACCCCGGGCTGGGGCGGAAGTGGGTATCCTTATAAAAGTGAATTTCTTTGTGCTTTCTATATATATATATATATATATATATATATATATATATATATATATATATATATATATATATATATATATATATATATATATATACATACTCTCTTTTAAAATCAACATTCCTCTCTCTCTCTCTCCTCTCTCTCTCTATATATAATATGATGTATGTATTTGCAGTATCGACAGAGGATGCCCCATTCCTGGTCCTCGCCCAGGACAACAAAGTGGTCAAACAGAATATGAAGCTCCTCATAACCTCTGACCCTGAGACACTCTCAACTTTGACACCTTCTAATACAAAGGTCAAAGGTAATTACAATACCTCTCCTATTATGCTTTACTTCAAGGAAACTAGTATACAACTCATTATAATCTATAATTAATTCAATTATCATGGAGAAAAGAAAACTATTTACTGGTACTGTTTGTGAAATTTTACTGTGATAATGCAGTTGATTTGAGGATTTGCTAATCTTGATAGACAATTCTTTGTGTCCTGTATTTGATGTCCTTTAGCACAAAATTAATATTTCTTCATAAACCTCCTACGTTTTTTTATCTACTTGGTTATTTTTTACAGTCAGTTTAACTCCATTTCTTACCAGAATTTTTGGTTTTAGTCAAATGAACTGCAACCAAAGTGTTCTTTTTTTAGCACCCTTCTTGCATTTATTATCAAGCACTGATCAACACATCTGAATATGAATTTACTAAAGTTATTCCCCTTTACACGTTAAAGAAAAATAATTATCAGTGTAAATTCCAAATTATCTATTTACAGGAATCATGACATTTTCTGAAACAAATTTGGCAATACATGTATTTTAAATTGATGTAGATTTTTAATAAAATGGGTCTGGTCTAGAAGTCTAAGTTAGTTGATTAACTTGTATTTTTTTCTGCAAACAAAAAGGATCCACAGTATTATTCCAAATTCCCGGTGATGAGGTCACAGGTAACTATGGAAACATCATGAGCCTGAAAAACATCATTTCATTGGATGTTAATTGTTGTGGTGTTGTGTTCTCATTGGATGATTTCATTGGGTGCTTTCAGCAAAATTTGTCCAATCAAAACAAGAATAAATCTTTTTATTATATCTTGTAGATGTATTATTGGGAAGGGGTGACCAAACATGTCCTATACATCTCTGTGTCTTCGTTTTTATGTGGTTTTGTTGATTATAGAAACATTCCCCGGCAGTCTTAAGTAATGCTGGGAAGAATTTGAATGTCATGTACACTTTGTTTTATTTGTATTTTTCTCTAGTTTTAATTCCAATTTTTTGATATTTTTTCTTTCTTTCTTTTACAAGAGTGTGCCAGATTTCTGAACTGACAGCTATATTTACCAAGCTATACCCTTTTATCAATAGTTATTTGTCATCAATGGAATGCCTTGCAATAGTTAATTTACTCTATATTTATTTGTATCATTTTTTCAAGGTTATACATTATTCAATATGTACATTACAGTATTTTAGATTAAAGCAAGAGTTCATTCCCCTGACTTCATCACAGATTAACAATCACATTCCACATTTCTAAAATGGATTTGCTAAACCCCAATGCTTGTTTGTATTTGAAAACTGCATGTTACTGAACAAAGAAATGTTGATAGTTTGAAAGAAATAATCTTCATTTATAGATAAAAGTAGAATGATATGCATACCATATTTAATTTCAATTAGATTGAGAATAAAAAAATCTTGTTTGTATGTAAATAATGCCTACAAATTTGAAAATAAAATGTGGTAGAATTCTGATATTTCTTATTTTAGGCCTAGCTCTCAGTATTGATAAACAGATTTTGTATGTGAGTGATTCAAGCAAGAACATCTCAGTCCTGAGAACAGACAGTCTGGGACAGTCTAAGATTATCTTCTCTGAACTCGCAGATCCCTCTGGCATCACACTCGACTGGCTCAGGGATATTCTGTATGTTGTTAATCAGCTACAGGTGAGTGACCCCCCCCCCCTTCCCCACACACACACATACACACACACAGAGGTGTATTAATTAAAAGAAATTTAACGATTCGTAATTATAAGGGGACAGATGATCCAATCTGCTTATAGATATAGTACAAAAACTGATGAAATAAAATTTTTATCTTCAGCAATAATTTAACTCAAATTTTATTCCTTTGGTAATGTAATTCTTTCTTCAGCTCACCTGAGCTGTAAGCACAAGTGAGCTTTTCTGATCACCCATTGCCCTGCATTTGGCTAGCTGTCCATCTGTGAACTTTATACATTTTCAACTCTTGTCAAGAATCAATGGGCCAATTTCAACAAATTTTCAACAGAATTCATTGCAAGGGAAAGGAGACTATAAATTCTTCAAATGAAGGGCCGTCCCCCCCCCCCCCCCCTTTTCCAAGGGGAGATAATTAAGTTAAAAAAAATGTAAAAATAGTGTCTGTAGAAAGATGTCAAGCCCAGTTAGGCCAGTACTATATATAGATTTTCAAGGTATAAAGAAACACAATGTTTAACAACCTGTTTGCACTTTTTAATGAAGTCTGAGATGTTTTTTCTTTAGATTTACCAGTGTGATATTCAGACAGACACCTGCTACCCTGCAACGGGGAAGTTACCAGCAGTACCGGCCGACATAAAGGTTGATCCTATAAATGGGTACGTCAGACATGACAATAAACGGGTACGTCAGAAATGACAATAAACTGGTACGTCAGAAACTGGTACGTCAGAAATGACATTGAGACTAAAACTCAATTATGACCTATGGTGTTTCCAATGATGAAAAATAGATTTTTTAAATTAAAGCCTGCATGATTAGATGGGAGAAAAAAAATTATAATTTGAAAAGCGCACTTGCTAACTGTTTTATGCATTAGTACATACATATAATCATTTTGTGTAAATTTCTTTAGTTTTTGTAGTTTCTCCTTAAATACTGTCAAGTCTGTTTTAAAGAATTATCATAAAATAATTAAGGAGTCACAAATGACAGCTGGTATCTTGTAGAAATGAAATGATTGTGTCTGTAATTTTGGAAATTTTTGACTGTATGATGTACCAGGTTAGATGAAAAAAAGGTGGATGATAATGTTAAGTACATGATTTTCTCCAGAAAATCCTTAAGTTGGATACATGTATATCAAGATATCTATTTGATAGGAGCATAGGAATAGACAAAACTTTCTGAATGACGGTGCTTTTTGTCTTGCATAAAATTCATATTATTTTATAGAGTTGAAAATATTTCTGTAAACACCTGGGTATTGTTTGATCCTATAGATGTTGACATGCTGTTCCTTGCTGCTCACCGTTCTCTGCTGTCATTCTTTGTTGAACTTTCTTCCATTTGTTGTCTACTATCTTTGTAGTTTGTTCAGCATTCCTGTAGAATAGTAGAAGGTTTCTAAACTATTTTGAGATTATATGTTCACCCAGATCAAAGTCAAAGGTTTATGTCAAAGAACACAAACTTGATTATATCATAGACCAGGACAGGTTTTTAATCCTGGACAGGTATTTGACCCAGGACAGGAATTTGACCCGAACAGGTATTTGACCTGGGACAGGTATTTGACCAGCACATCTTGTTATTTCTAGGTATCTGTATTTTACTCTAAGTGTGGGACAGCAGGGATTGTACAGAGTTGATACCGGTGATATCACATCCCTAAGCCCTGCCCCCTTCAGGCCTATCATCACCGACAACTTCCTATCCTTTACCTTGGATTTCAACAACATCCTCATCTACTTCCCTGATGAGACCCAGAATTCAATGCGATCGTCATCATTAGATGGAAGCGACGTTACTGACATCAGAAAGACTAGGACTGTGCGCCCTGAATTCCAGAATATTGTCAGTATGGTGCACTATGATGAGCTATTTTACTGGACCAATGGGAAGAAAGTGATGAGGGAGGAATATAACGAAGCCCAGGATACGTACTACCATAACCAAGCGCTGATGTTTGCCAGTCATTTCTCAGCACTGAATGTCTTACACCGAAGTATGCAACCAAAACCAGGTACCGGCAATACAAAGATATGGAATCTGAATTAGAGTTTTTTATAGTAAATTGAGAGATTTTTCAAAGTTTTCACAGGCAAATTATGAAATACTTTCAGAGGTCAGTCAATTACTCCGATGTGTAATTACTTATAAGAGTGGGATTCTTATATAATAAGCACTTTTAGTATTGTTAATTATTGTACAGCTTAAAACCAACATTTGTTATATATAGATGTGATAAATGTAAAAACGGTCAGCATGAATTCAGAATATTGCTATATTAATTTAGCCAATGACTTAAGATGACCTACAGGTCAACCAAATTTTAAATACATGTATGCTTGAATAAGTATTCCACAAGTATTTACCAGGATTTAAAAAAATTTAAAATCAAAACACTTTTACAGTGTTTATTTATTGTTTATGTTTATTTATTTAATTGGTATTTATACATTGTTTATTTATTGTTTGTGTTTATTTATTGTTTATGTTTATTTATTTAATTGGTATTTATCTATTGTTTGTTTATTTTTTGTGTTTATTTATTGTTTATTTATTTATTGGTATTTATTTTCAGTTCCCCACAGTGCTCCCCACTCACTGCAGGCTTTATTTAGAACTGTTGATGTTCTTTTGTCATGGGAACCACCAAAAAGACTTAATTACCAAGGTCAGTTGTTGTCCAAAAAATTAATGTTCCGAATATTTTAAGGAGTTTTTAGAAATGATTATTTATTTAATTTTGTTTTCTTGTATAATTAAACATGTTACACAATGGAGTCATACAGAGAAGTAACAATTGTAAAAAAAAAATATTTATGCATCAATAGCTTTTAAAATACTCTGATTTCCAATTCATGTTGATCTCATTTGACTTTATTTTAAATTCATTTGAGCTCTGATCTTAGTATCACTTGATTCTTAATCCATTAGTACTTTGCCCTTGAACTTTGACCTATCTTTTGTGTACAGGTAAGGGTGCATGGAACAGTTGGTCCTATGACATTGTGTTACTGGGAAAAGATGGCAGACAGAGACAACTGATATCAAATGTACGACAGACCTCGCTAACCTTATCTAACCTTGACTCTAACACCACATACCAGGTCAAGGTCAGAGCCAAGTCTGAGATTGGAACTGGACCTTGGTCCTCCTTGTTTTCAGGGAGGACTCTGACAACAGGTGTGTCTCCTGTGGCTACGATCTGTCGCTAAGTGTATCCATGCCAATGACTTTATTGTAACTTTTCAAATAGAAGTACCTATGATGAGTAATAAAGATTTATGATTGTTTTCTATCAATAGACGCTATTACTGCCAGGCTGGTGATGATAGAACCAAACCGATTTGGTGGAGGCATTCTAGTGGGAACTGATACGTTAGGAGAGAATCGGAAAAGATTAGCAATAGTTAGAGGCAGAGGTAAGTTGTTAAATACCTGACCAAGCTTTCTCTATCCTAATTTACCTGTACACTCATTACTTATACACCACCAAAAGTATATACTATATGATAATGCTGATTTTGAGATCTCTAATCAGAGATAATGGTAGTGAACGTGACATGATCTTAACTTTTTTTGTACACAGTAAGGGATGTGACATGGACTCCCTTGACAGTATACATGATCTTAAATTTTTGTACAGTAAGGGACATGACATGGACTCCCTCAATAGTATACATGGTGACAGAAGAAGGAGCTCTTCTGTATTACCAGCATGGAAACTTCGCTGCCATCAGAGAAGACGTCCCAAGCCTGGTCAGCGTGGCATATGATTGGCTGGCAGGAAAACTCTACATGTCACTGTCAACCAATCCAGGGGTGGTAAGTCATGAAATGAATAGTTTAGAGGAAATCCCTTATTTTGATTGGCAGGCAGGAAAACTCTACAGCCTCTACTGCCATTGATTGGAATAAATTCAAACTGGACAAAAAAGGAAAAGGAAAGTAAGGGCTCACCATATATTTAAAATATTTATTAATCTTTTCAAAATCCTGTTTTTAGCTCTACTAGTTAGAATCTTTGTATTTTCTTTTGGATTTTGACCAAATACGTTGCCGTGGTTACTAAATATAGAAATTTCTTTGAAATTCTTTGCAAATGCTACTCCTCCTACAGTTTTGTTCCAATTTCAATAGGGCTTAGTACACTACATACACCAATTACACACCAGCAGAGCTTCAGTCTCATCAGAGACTTCTGGTTTCATTAATCAATTGATATTCTATGACACAGGATGCAAAGTTGACAATAAAACTGAGAAAATGGATCACACTGAATTTATGAGCAAATGAAAGAATGATTTTATATGGGCATTCCAAGGTTAAATCAAAGTGCATTACAGTATTGTAAAAGTTTGTATTTAATTATTAGGCATAAAAGACCTAAAAAATACAGACATTTGTGTGTTGATTTGCAGATCAAAAGGGCTAACCTTTCTGACCTGAAGAAACAGGAATTTGTGATACAAGGATTGGCAAGTCACATGACCATAGATTCCATAAATGGCCGCCTCTACTGGGTGACAGAGAACAGTGTGGAATCATGCCTTCTCAATGGAGAACAGCACATCAAACACTTCTTCATTCCATATTTCTCAGGGAGCAAGGTCATCAGTCTGACCTTGAACTTTGACCTCAAGAAGCTACTATGGTATGTGAAGAGTTATGATCGTCAGGAGCTGTATATGACGGATTTGATCCAAAGGGAGGAGACCGGTGGAGCCAACCAATATCAACTGATTGGCACAGTCAACTCTATTGCCAAGTATGATTTACAACTGAAATAAATTGTATTCAGTGTCATAGGGCAAAGAATATAAAGTTTTATCAGTTTATAAATTGCAGTAAATTAAAAAAATAGTTATGTAAAGCTTCCAACAATAGTTTAATAAAGTTGAGATACTTGTAACATTGCTGAATTATGTCTGATCTTCAAAAAATTAGCAGATTTTGTTTAACCTTGACACTTTAACATATATATTGTATTTCAGTGACTCCGTGCTTCAGTACCACTTTCACCGATTATTCTGGCAGAATGCTGACCAGCAGGTGATCCTGGGGGATCTGGATGTTAATCATACCTCAGTGGTCACTCAGAGTGGTGTGTCCATCTTCCTGGTCCAGCATCCTTCACTTCATCCCTACCCAGGTACACTCACCTCGTTCCTTAGTACTCAGTCATACTTGTACTCAAGTATTAACTCAGTCACCTCATACCTTAGTACTCAGTCATACTTGTACCAAAGTACTAACTCACTCACCTCATTTCTTAGTACTCAGTCATATTTGTACTCAAGTACTAACTCAGTCACCTCATTCCTTAGTACTCAGTCATACTTGTACTCAAGTACCAACTCAGTCACCTCATACCTTAGTACTCAGTCATACTTGTACTGAATTACCAACTCACTCACCTCATTTCTTAGTACTCAGTCATTCTTGTACTCAAGTACTAACTCAGTCACCTCATACCTTAGTACTCAGTCATACTTGTACTCAAGTACTAACTCAGTCATCTCATACCTTAGTACTCAGTCATACTTGCACTCAAGTACTAACTCAGTCACCTCATTTCTTAGTACTCAGTCATACTTGTACTGAATTACTAACTCACTCACCTCATTTCTTAGTACTCAGTCATACTTGTACTCAAGTACTAACTCAGTCATCTCATACCTAAGTACTCAGTTACACTTGTACCCAGGTACACTCACCTCATTCCTTAGAACACAGTCATACTTGTATCAAAGTATTAACTCAGTCATCTCATTTCTTGGCACAGTCATACTTGTACTCAAGTATTAACTCAGTCATCTTATACCTTAGTACTCAGTCAAAGTACCTAATCTAGAATTTGTCAGAGACAAAGTGTGATATGTTAAGTATTTTGATGTTTTTAGAGGGATTAAATGAGACAACAATTCGGGTGATACCCAGTGTCATTGACCCAGACAGCATTACTTGTAGTGGACATTGGTCAAAATTTAACATCTCTTGGAGTCCAGCCTCTGTTAATTATGGTAGCCTGTACTACGAGGTGTCTATTGAGTCGGACACTGCCGTTATTATGGTACGGAAGTAAGACAGTCATATAGCTTCCTATAAAATCTATTGTAACAGCTAAAACATTCAAACATAGAAATAAAGAAATTTAAAAATGAACATTTTTAGAAAACAGAAAAGACTTGGTATGAAGCTGAGGGGTTTATGCCTTACAGTGAGTTGACTGTGAGGGTGGCAGGCTACACATATTGGGGGTATGGGAAATCATCCACTGCTGTGATCAGATCCCCTATGGCAGGTATAGCCATGAAAGTTTAATCCATTCTACTGTAAAGCAGAAATTTTACAATGACAAAGAGTGAAATTAGAGTAAAAATATTCATTCTTGAATTCTGTGGGGCGTATTTCAGTTTTCCATGGATAATGTTTTAAATTGTTTATATAATATGTATATTAAGGAAATCTGCTTGATTGCCCATTGACTCAATTTGTCACTGATGTGTATTATTTTACAGCACCATCTAAACCACTGACTCCTAGAGTGTATGTCAATCAGCTGAAGGAATCCTCTGGGGCAGAAACCTGTATGGGGGCCTCGTTTAGGTGGGAGTCACCAGAGTACAGCAATGGGATCATCAACCAGTATGTGGTGACCTACTGGAAAACGGGGTCAAATCAGCTGATCAAGAAGGTTCTGGCCCCCACCGCCCGACACTTCTCCCTAGATGCTTGTCTACAGAACAACTACACATATAACTTCCAGGTTAACATTTTTAAATCCTGTAGCTAGGGTACTAGAATTATAGTTGAAAGGAAATGTTCACCTGCTTACATTTGTCATCGAAATGTACAGTCAGACCTTATTATCTCAAACTCGATGGGACGGAAAAAAAACTTATATTCAAGGGTTTTAGATATTGAGGGTAAAATACATAATAAAAAAAAGTGTTTGAAACTTTGAACTCTGTTCAACATCAATGAAATATCCAAGATATTTATGTTCAAGGTACTGAATTGACTTGTAACTGGATTTGGTAATTTAAGGTGGTTGTGAAATTAAAATTAACCATGTTTGCTTTGTGAAGATTTTTTATAGTGAATGAGATTCTGTTCTTTAACAGGTACAAGCGTGCACTTATGAGGAATGTAGTGAAATGACGGAGATCAAACAGGCAACAGCAGAGGGTAGGTTTAATTTACTGATACACACTGCGATTTACCTGTATATTTCATTATTACCTGTACCTGTGATTTACCTGTATATTTTTTTTATCACCTGTGCCTGTAATTTACCTTTAATTTCCCTCATGGTTTACATACAGCTTTGAATCCAGTTCCCAGGATCCTTTTGGCTGATAACACCAATATCCAAGTGATGGATGTAGACAGTACCCACAATGTTCACACTCTGGTAACCGGGGCATCTCCCTTAGCAGTGACCTACTTTCAAGTGTCACAGGATGATCGGGTATTCTGGGTGGATTACAATAGTCAGTTATGGCAGTACTCTACTACTCATGGAAGGAAAAAGGTAAACCCCAAACTCTTTGTATACTGTAAATTCCTAATTATACATGAGGAATTTTATCCCTTATATTTGCAAGAAGCACTTTTCATGAAGTAAAATAACAAGGTTTTATTTTTTTATTGAAGAAATACATATTTAATCTCAAGATCAACAGTATACTCGCAAATTCATGTTCTCGCAATGTGACATTAACAAGTCATTTGGAGATATGAAGTACTTGTGTAAAAGAAGGCTTCTACAGTATGTTGAGAATTCGGTCTTTCATATGATATATTGAGAAGCAGAACCCAGGGCTAAATTGGATGTTAAACACTTGGTCAAATGACTTTACATTGTAACACATTGATGTTGGACTTTGATGTTGGACTTGCTGTTGGATTGATTGTATGTTGGACTTTGATTTCAGTTGCTGGATTTAGGGATGACTTTCACAGTGATGGACATGACAATGGATTGGATTAGTAGGACCGTGTACATTGCGTCAGTCAATACAAAGACAAACACAAGCACGATCACCTCCTACCAACTGGACGAGGCCAAACAGAGGGTCCAGCTTAATGGCAGGAGGAACATAGTGGGCAGTATTATCAGGGAACCTTACTCCAGGTACAGACATTAAAAGAGATTACGGGGCTGTACTAGATAATACATGTGTGTGTACTTTGGAGACAGATTACAAGAGAAAGCTTACAAGATATTATTTCAATGAATTTTATTTTAAAAATTTAAAGCCAACTTATCAGTTTCAGTTTTTCAGGAGTTATTGAGGGGGAATAGTATAATTGAGATGGTTAAATTTATTTCAGATATTTTTAGAACTGAAATTATTACAAGATTAATACAGTAAAACTTGTCTAATCAGGACTCCACTGGTTCCAAAGAAATTTTCTGGACTAGACAACATTCCGAATTAGACAACATATTAAACAATTATATTTACTGAAATGGACTTAAATATTACATCTTATTAGGCAAGATTTCAGAATACACAACATCCGGATTAGACAAGTTTCACTGTAGTGAAGATGCAGGGAGTCTGACATAACTGTGTGTTATTTTTCAGCACCCTGTTTTGGACTGAGCGGCCTGTCTCTGGTTCCCACAGTGAACTGTTTTTCTGTAGAGAGGGAGGGGACCCCACCCGCATGTTCTCCCTCAGGGCCCGGAGATCTCTAGACACACCATGTAACTGTACAGTGTCTGCCGTAGGAGACGTGTTGGCCCTCGACCACACCAAAGGGACAGAACTGGAGATCTTATTCTATGACACAGCGACCAAGGCCATTATTGCATCAGATACACAGGGCTGTCACTGTAGGGAGATAATCAAAAATGCACAAGGTACTCTAGATCTCTAAACACAGATTTTCAGAACATATGGGTGGTGTATTTAGATCTGATTCAGAAGATGTGTAACTGTAACTTTTTTCAAGGTTTCCCCCCTGATTTGTTGTCTGTGGATCACATGCTGATTTATTGGTACCGAAAAAGTGAGAACCAGTTAAACTCCCTGGACAAGGTCACAGGAAAGGTCACCCAGATACCAGTGGTCAGTGTCAAGAGTATAGAGGCATATGGATCACACCTACAACCCCTACCCAGTAAGTTTTTCTTGTAAGAAATTGAAAAAAAAATTGTCAAAGAAATTGAAAAAAAAATTTTGTCAGAAAATGATCGAAATATTGATGTATTACATCAAACTTAAAGTTGGTGTACACTTTTTGTGTAAAATTATAAAAGAAAAATGTTCAGAAATACTTTTAGATTATAGTTTTTTTTGATAATACCAATGTCCAGTGTTTTTTTCTTCTCTGTAGGTGATGAATGCCTGAATCCTGAGGCATATAGTGGGAATTTGAGTTTGGCAAGGAGCAGGAATATCTCCCTGACTGTTCACTTAGACAGTGTAACGTGGCCAGACACGTGCAATGGAATATCCCATCCAGCCACAAAATACATTGTCTACTACACACAGTCAGACAAACAGGGCGACAGCTGTCACTCCAACAGTCCAGACTGCAAAAAATCTGTAAGAATGTGGTCTACCTTCAAATCAGTGTGATTTTAAACAAATAATGCAATTTTTTGTTAACAAATGATAATAAGGAATGGACCCCAATACATTTAACTGTCAGAAAATACTACATTTAACATTGTAATGTTTTTAATACAGGATATTTACAACATATTGTAATTACTTTACAGGAGAGTAACATTAATTAGATAACACTGACAGGACTGGACCCTTACACTCTATACAATGTACAATATATTGTAATTACTTTACAGGAGAGTTACAGTAATGAGATAACACTGACAGGACTGGACCCTTACACTCTATACAATGTACAATATATTGTAATTACTTTACAGGAGAGTTACAGCAATGAGATAACTCTGACAGGACTGGACCCTTACACTATACACTGTACAATATATTGTAATTACTTTACAGGAGAGTTACAGTAATGAGATAACACTGACAGGACTGGACCCTTACACTATACACTGTACAATATATTGTAATTACTTTACAGGAGAGTTACAGTAATGAGATAACTCTGACAGGACTGGACCCTTACACTCTATACACTGTACATGGTGCAGTCAGTAATTACTACACGGAATATCTGTCCAAGGCACTTAGTCAGCCATTTTACTTCAGAACAAAAGTTGGAGGTTAGTTTGTTACAAGTTCATGTGTCAGTTGTTATAGCTGGAAATTTCATGTAATTCAGAATAAGCATTTGTTAGAGTACAGATTAGTTTAGTATGGAAAGGACTACTGGTGCATGTGCAAAGAGTAAAATTAAACATGCTTAATACAAAGTGCCAGGGATGGACAATTTTGCTTTATTATAAGTGTAATTCATTAAATCTGTTACCTTTAGAATATAATTTGAAGTCAAGGTGAATGAAAATCACTTTGCTGTTAGCATCAATTCATTTTAAGAGTGTTCTCTATAAGCATGTTTTACTGTATATACTTAGAAACTGTAACAAAATTTCAGACAAATTCCATTAAAAGAACACAGGAGAGAGATGGTACAAGTCCAAAGACAATCAGAAAATGACAAAAGAGAACTTACTATATTTAAATACAATACATGTATTATTTGGACTGAATTTTTTACAGTACCTTCCCCACCTATTCAAGTCAACGCCACAGTGGACACGCCAATAACAATCAAAGTGTCCTGGTCAGCCCCGGTCAGTCCTAACGGTCCAGTGGAGGATCTGAAGTACATGGTCAAATACTCCACTCAGATCAATAATCAACACCAGGTGGTCAACCGAACTGTGAAAGTGGACCCAGACGCTGACCAGAGGTACAGCTACAACTTGACTGGACTACAACCGGGGCACAACTATGAAATCAAGGTACAGAACAAACTGAAAATGCCCTGTCAGAGGCTTTGTGGATATAAATATTTTCTCAAATACACTTGTTGTCTGGAAGCGATCTAGTATTTAGGTTTTAGGGAGTGGTATCTGAGATTCCCACCTGATTTAGAAGAAGTTGCTACTTCATTGCTACCACATATAATTTTGGAAGATGGTCGAAATTGCAAGGGCTTGAGGTGTTAATAGAACCATTTTGAACTAATTTTCCTGTGGAAAAAATTTTCATTGGAATGTATATTCATCTCTTTACATGATATTTTGAATAAGTTTATCACATTATCTGGTCAAACTTAAGTTCATTTTGCTAAAAACTGAAAAAAAATAATGCCTCCACTGATGAGTGTTTTTTCCCTCCTCCATTGATGAGCTGATGTCATGAGCATTAGTTTGTTTGTGTTTGTGTTGAGAATACAGTCCCTGAAATGTTCTATTTTCTGATTTTTCCATTTGCTCACCGTTCATTCACCATTCACTTTGCGCTCACATTTGCGCTCCGTTCACGTTCTGCGTTATTCACTGTGTACCAACCGTTCACCAAATTGCAGTCAGTGTTCACTAACCGCTCACTCTCCGTTTGTTCACCGTTCGCTCACCGTTCGCTCAGCGTTCGTTCACTGTTCGCTCACCGTTCAAGTAGATCGTTTCAGGGACTGTATCTCCAGTATTAAGTGATGGTAGTCAGCATTTGTAATTCATGATCTGCATCATACAGGAACATCACTCAAGCTTACTTTTAATTAACAGGTGCTGTCAGGTAACTCAGAAGGTGTGTTCTCTTCAGACAGTCTACCTGTAAAGGTGAAGACGTATGAAAATCCCGGCCCCATCCTGCTGTTAAATGCCACCCACAACACCCTGTGGATCTCCTGGACGCCTCCCCCAGATAACAGTAGCCAGATGCATCTCTTTTATTATGGGAAGGTCAGCCGTTATAATCTGTCTATTTTATTATTGGAAGGTTAGCCGTTATAATCAGTCTATTTCATTATGGGAAGGTTAGCCGTTAAAATCAGTCTATTTTATTATGGGAAGGTTAGCCATTATAATCGTTCTATTTTTTTTATGGGAAGGTTAGCCGTTATAATCTGTCTATTTTTTTTATGGGAAGGTTAGCTGTTATTATAAGTCTATTTTATTTTGGGAAGGTTCGCTGTTATAATCGTTCTATTTTATTATGGGAAACAGTTATAATCAGTCTACAGTTGAACTTGGGTATCTTGAACACTGATATCTCGAATACCATGGATATGTCGAAGTGATCTGAAAGTCCCAATCCCTTATTCTTTAAGTATTTTACCCTGGATGTCTCTAATTCTCGGATATCTCGAAGTCCCATCTTGGTCCCATCGAGCTAGAATTGAAGAGGTTTGACTGTATTTTATTATAGGACTAAAAATAGTTGTAAACACGTTTACTGGGAGGGAGATAAGATATCGGATTCCTCTAACTTCTAACTCCATTAGATATGTGTAATGTATTTGAGATATCAATGTTTGAGATCTTGAATTCAGCCGTAAGTTACTTCATACCTTGTTTGAGATCTTGAATTCAGCCGTACGTTACTTCATACAATGTCTGAGATCCTTAATTCAGCCGTACGTTACTTCATACAATGTTTGAGATCCTAAATTCAGCCGTACGTTACTTCATACAATGTCTGAGATCCTAAATTCAGCCGTACGTTACTTCATACAATGTCTGAGATCCTAAATTCAGCCGTACGTTACTTCATACAATGTCAGAGATCCTAAATTCAGCCGTATGTTACTTCATACAATGTTTGAGATCCTAAATTCAGCCGTACGTTACGTCATACAATGTTTGAGATCTTGAATTCAGCCGTACGTTACGTCATACAATGTTTGAGATCTTGAATTCAGCCGTACGTTACAAATTCATACATTCACTACAGGTACTGGACCAGGGGGTGGAGTTGTGGAATCAGTGGGGTTTCCGTGGGTTCCCAGAGATGACCGATGTGTCAAAGACCTACATCAAAAACTTCACAAACTTGGAACCAAGCACAAAATATGCATTCAAAGTGAAACTAAGTTATCGAGGATCACGTAACTCCCAATTTTTCTGGCCCACAGATGTTCTAAAATTTGTGTTCAAAACCCAAGGTAATATTCATGTTTTTATTATTTTAGAGTTTTACCTCATTATTTTATTTTGTCAATGCTAAACACATAAAAAGTGGTAAGATTTTGTGTTAAAAAAATAAAGGTGGTTTTATTGAAATGAGTGATTTATAGAAAAAAGGGTTTCTTGTAGAATTTTCATAAGAGTGTGTACTAATAGGAATGAGGGTGCTCTCTAAGCAATAAGGGTGTTCTTATATAACAATAAGGGTGTGTTATACAAATAAATAGGGGTGTGTTATACAAATAAAAGTGCTAGTAAAAATAAGGGTGTACTTATTGTAATGTGGCTGTATTCATAATAACAAAGGTGTAGTTAAAGTAAGGGAGTATTTATATGAAAAAATTTCAAATTAAGTTGATTGAATTTTGATCTGTTCATATAAGCATTTCAAGTTGTCACAGTGGTGCTTTGATCTATTCTAAAGCTGATGTTCCTGGGGTTCCATCCATTCCAATTGTAAACAAACTCAGTCCTGGGTATCAGGTAGAATGGCAGGCACCCCGAGACAATGGAGAACCAATCCTGAACTATACATTGCAATGCTGGTAATATATGATTTATAACTTATCCAATACTTGTGTGAATATAGCAATTACATGAATTCGAAGTAATTTTTTTTCTATGATGAATATTTCAGTTATGCATATGAATTTTGCATCTGAAATATGTGTACAAATATTTTGGTGCAGTGACCAGGATACTTGTCAGTGAAATACAGGTTTTGTAAAAAAAAAATTGATCTATGATGAATAAGCTGTCTTCTTGCCATAAAAGAGGTGACTCTACATTACAGTAGTACATGTGTTGACTATTTTATGTGCAGTGATGAGGAGGATTGTGTAGTTATGTACGAGGGGAACCAGACCCGGTGGTTGGTGGACACCTCTCTCCTCCCCCAGAATCAGGACCTCTATTTCAGAGTGGCTGCCACAAACATCCTAGGTCAAGGTCCCTTCAGTTCAAATAGTTCATCATTTAATTACATAGGTAAGCTTTCACAAGGATGTTGAATTGACTAATTTTGATGGTTGTTCCTGACCTTGGTTGACATTTAAGACATTATGCTCTTTAAAAACTGATGGCTCTTAATAATTACATGTTTTAAGTAAATAAATAATAATTTGATAATTCACGGCATTTGAATTAATATCCTTATGTATGCAGTATTTAGGATTCCGATTTAATCCTTTGATTTTTCAGATGATCCAGTTCCTATAGATAATATGACTGTCCTGGCCGTGATCCTCTCATTTGTATTGTTTTTCATTCTGGGAGCTTTTTTTATTGTGTACTTTTGTAAGTTTATCTATTATGTTATTTCTTAATACCAACTATGACATGTACACGTATAGCAGAAAAAGTTTAAAAGATGATATTTCTTAACTGAATTGAAATATTTTAAAATCCTGTGAAATCACTCATTTTCCTGAGGGGTTCATTTTCATAATTTTCGAGGTATGAAGATACCCACAAATTCATGTCCACCACGAAATGTAAAATGTCATATACATAACTACTCAACAACTCTTTATCCCCCACAAAGCCAAAGTTTTTCCTCAAAACACGAAAATTTGATCTCACAAAAATATGTGATTTTACAGTTCATTATTTCATATGTACATGTATATACATGTATGTGTGTTTGATGAAGGAGTTTAATAAAGAGTGCAATATTTCACAGCAATAATAATTTCCTTTCAGTGTTATGTAAAATAAGGTTATTTAGATGCTTGGTATCTGTTTAAAACAACTAAATATTGTGACAAAAATGGATAAATTCTGTATTGCAGTAATAAGAAGGCAACAGCAGCTCAAACAGAAGCCCGTCCATTTTGTTGCCGTGTCACGGGGACCTGACATGGAGCTAGCCACGCTCCGCGATTTACCAACGACCACCGTACAGCAAAATAATACACTGTACACCATCAAGTAAGTCTAGGTGTCTTCAATTCAATGTACTTTTTATATGTACTCTCAAGAAGACTTTGCAAAATGCTTGGAAAAAGAAGGTTAAAAAGAAAAGATAATCACAAAATAAAAACTTGTGGTTTATGGCTACATTTTTATTTGTTGTCTGTACAGCATGGTTCCTACAGACAGCGACATTGCGGCCCTCCCACACTTTAGACGAGATCAACTGATGCTGACTAAGTTTCTTGGGAGTGGGGCATTTGGAGAAGTGTTTGAGGGCGTGGCTAAAAATATCCTTGATGACAACTCGGGAAAAACCAAAGTAGCTGTTAAGGTGAGTTTACCGTGATAATTCATTGTCTTAAACTGTAGGAATGACACAGATGTATATAGTTTTCTTTCAAACTTTTATATGATGTCAAGCATTATTTATTTTTAAAAAAAATTAATTTCTGTAGTAAGACATACAGGTACATGTATCTAAATAAAAGAACATTAAACATAATACATGTAAATATATAAAAATGTACAGATAAAACACACTCACAAAAGCAATAACAAGAAGAGTCTATTTAAATGTAATAGTTATTAGCTCTAATCTTTTCTCCTTAGACCCTTCGTAAGAGTGCCTCGGACCAAGAGAAAGAGGAATTCCTGAAGGAAGCTCTTCTGATGAGTAACTTTAAACACGACCACATCCTGGGTCTGCTGGGGGTCTGTCTGGACAATGACCCACAATTCATCATATTAGAGCTGATGGAAGGGGGTGATCTTTTGTCATTCCTAAGAGCTAATCGACCTTCAGCAGTAAGTATAGTAAGGTCATGTTAGAGGGCTTCAGCAGTAAGTACAGTAAGGTCATGTTAGAGGGCTGCAGCAGTAAGTGCAGTAAGGTCATGTTAGAGGACTTTTTCAGTAAGTACAGTAAGGTCATGTTAGAGGACTTCTCCAGTAAGTGCAGTAAGGTCATGTTAGAGGACTTCTCCAGTAAGTACAGTAAGGTCATGTTAGAGGACTTCTCCAGTAAGTACAGTAAGGTCATGTTAGAGGGCTGCAGCAGTAAGTGCAGTAAGGTCATGTTAGAGGACTTCTCCAGTAAGTACAGTAAGGTCATGTTAGAGGACTTCTCCAGTAAGTACAGTAAGGTCATGTTAGAGGACATTAGCAGTAAGTACAGTAAGGTCATGTTAGAGGACATTAGCAGTAAGTACAGTAAGGTCATGTTAGAGGACTTCAGCAGTAAGTATAGTAAGGTCATGTAAGAGGACTTCTTCAGTAAGTACAGTAAGGTCATGTTAGAGGACTTCAGCAGTAAGTAGCATCCAATGTTCAAAAGAAAGCTCAAAACGTTTCATTCAAATGGAAAATTTTACCACTTCAATGCCTATCATTGTACAATGTATCTTTGCTATAAGCTTTTAGCATTTTTTTAGACTAGTTTCATCAAATGTTATTTGTAAAAATTTTTTTTTTTCTTTGAGAGGAAGATGACCAAAATTTCTGATGAAGAAATCTCTCATCATGGTTATATTTCTTGTTACCTGTTTTTTCAGATGAATTCAGTGTACCTGAGTCTAGCAGATCTGATGAAGATTTGTGTCCATGTGGCCAGGGGCTGTACATACCTTGAGGAAATGCATTTTGTACATAGGTAAAAAATTACAAAAACAAAATTAGAATACACTGTACATATGAACAGACAGACAAAAGCAATGAGAATATGGATTTGAAAAACTGACAAAAAGCAATATTAGAATGTGTCCCAAAACAAAGAAATTCAAAAATGTGCTGATGAACAAATTGACTAAAGCAGTTAGGTGGCCAGGTACCCATGAAAGGACAAAAGAATTTCCAGCTGCTGACAACATTCCATTGTAGATCTTCTTACACATACAGTGTACATAATGTGTTTTTCAGAGATTTAGCAGCAAGAAATTGCCTTGTGTCTTCAAAAGATCCAAGAAATATGGTTGTGAAAATCGGAGACTTTGGCCTCGCCAGAGATATTTATAAGAATGATTATTACAGAAAGGAGGGTGAGGGACTACTTCCTGTCCGGTGGATGTCCCCTGAATCTTTAGTGGATGGAGTTTTTACAACACAATCAGATATATGGTGAGTCTGGATAACATCTTATGATGTTGACAGCTTATATTATAATAAGTAGGTTCAACAAAGTCAATGTTATAATGTTTATTTTTTGCAGTTCTACAGATTTTGTTGAAAAAATGTTATTGTCAGTTAAATTTTGAAAGAAAAAAAAACTCAAATATTTACATGTTACTGAGAGATCAATGGGCAAAACTTTATCTGGGAGGAAATTAAGGTGTGTGTGAGGTATTTTTACACCTGTTTTTTATGCAGTATTAGTTCCAGTAACTTATCCCCCATCAGTCAAATTAAAAGAAAACTGTCAAGTTTAATGGGATGGATCATGCTGCAGTAAATTAAATACAGCTGTAGCAAAGAATTTTGTAGACTCAATTTAAGAATTTTATAGAATTTTATAGAATTTTATTGGTGGCAAATGTATTCAAGTCTTATGGTTTATTTTAATATTCTAAGAAACAGATCATTTCTATATTCTTTGTGGAATTTTGATATTTTTGTTTATATACAAAAAGAGATATATATATATATATATATATATATATATATATATATATATATATATATATATATATATATATATATATATATATATATATATATATATATATATATTAAATAAATTTATAAATAAATAATATAGCAAGGTATTCAAATCATTTGCCTCTAGGGTAGCAGAAATTAAAATGACACCTTTGAAGGACAAAAATTTTCAGCAGCAAAAATTATCCATTCATAGATTGTTAATAATATTTCTTTGTATTCCTTTTAAGGGCTTTTGGGGTATTGAGTTGGGAGGTGTTGACCTTTGGTCAGCAGCCATACCAGGCAAGGACCAACATTGAAGTTTTACACTTTGTAAGGTCAGGAGGTCAACTAGACCAGCCAGAAAACTGTCCACAGGACATGTAAGTGTGTCTAAAACAAATACGAGGGAAGATTTCAGTGAAACATTTATAAGATGTCAATTCTTTTTGTGATAAAGCTGGCCTTCTAGTTGTAGAGTAAATTTGATCTGAATAAGAATTGATTAAGATCACTTATTATGAACTGTAATTAATATACATTTTTCAAAGGAAACTTTGCATGAAAAAATTCCCCCCACCCCCAGTTTATATTCTGCAGACCTTTTTGTTTGCTGATTCTGGAAGTATAACTATACATATATATGTACATGTATCTGTAGATTTGAATTGATGAAGAAAAGCTGGAGCACAGTTCCAGACGAGAGGCCATCGTTCTCCACGATTCTAAAGCAGTTGGAGGAATTCCACGAGAACTGTGCTGTTCTACTGACGGATTACATTGTACCTGTCAGGTCAAGGTCACCCAACCCTGATGGTAAGTGTATATATACATGTAGGTCATCAGATTTATTCTAAATGTAAAATAAGATGACAGAAATAGATTTTAATAAGAATATGATTTTTTTTTCCCATATGAACACAGTTGTGATCCTTTGATATTAAATCTGTGTTGTTTGTATAATTTTTATTTCAAAAATTTGATTGCATGACCGAAAAATTGTAGCGTTATGGATATTATTCAAATGCAATGAGCATCAATTTTGTATAAATATATTTGCATGATTAAATTTGTTAAGTTTGCTTATTTCTTCAAAACAATTAGATAAGCACCCCGTATGGCATGTAATGTGAGTTGTTAATGTGTGTGTAATTGCTATGTTTTTGTGAAGTGCAACTTGATGTATATAATGTCTGCTTTCTGTGTTTTTTTTGTGTACGGCATGTTTGTTGTAGTTGGTAGATGTCGTGATTCCTACCTTTATGGTCATTTTGCTCCACCCACCCTTGGCTTCAGTGGCAATATTAATCCCAATGAAGGCTTCTTAGGTGAGCAGATAGCTGCTTATCTCCATAACAAACAGATTCAGGAACAGCGCGATGCTCAGCGTTACTCTCGCATGGATGTGGTGCATGAATACATAGATGTGAATGTTGTAAACATGGATGGCTCCTATTTTACTTATAATCCTGTGTTTAACATTGAGAAGGCACACCCAGAAACACAAATCGCAACAGTTGGCGTAGTCGAGGGGAAGTCCACCCATCGTCCGTTAACAAGGTCACGCGGGATGAAAGGTATTTTGTTGGTCGTGAGTGGTTGCCCCTGGTTATTTTATTATTTTGATTTGTTTTCTTTTGATTTTTGTGAATATTGTGAGTAAATTTAAAATTGTTTTGAAATGTTGTTGAACTAAAAGTCATTTTTCATATTCCTTGATTTAAAATGCTTTTTTTCATCCCTCATTTTTTCACAAATCACCCATTAGATTTCTGTTTAAGTTTTCATCTTCATTGAACTTCATTTTTTTATTTTTGTTTTGTGGTCAACAATATTGAATCTGATTTATGAATTAGATACTTTTGTTAATCAGTAGTAGTGAAAATGGGGGGGGGGGGGGGGGGGTAGCCTTCATATTATCATATTACATATATATGAAATGGCTCAGAATTCTAAGTTAGGTAACAGATAACTGAAATGTCTGATGTTGGAGACAGTTTTTGCTTTATATCACTAACTCATTTCAGAGCTAGGAGGCAGGGATATGGTACATTCATTAGTAATAATACAACAATCACTCATGCACGGAGCTTTCTCTGTTCGCGATTTGACAATCGGTGCATGGCCACAGTTTGTGATGTGTGCATTTTTGATCCAGTTTCTGCATGACTTGAATCTATTGTTCATTCTAGATAGCAAAGAATGTAAACTGTGATTTCAAAAAATTAAAATCATCATTGAGTCACATGGATTATATTATAATTATGCTGAGTGCTTTGACAATTACTAATTCAGTGTAGCTTTAAATATTTTAGTTTGAAAATTCTAGATAAACATGGTTCTATGGACAGGTTCAAGCTTGGAATAAAGAGTAATGATATTTCAAATTAATATTAATTTCTCTTTAATGATGACGACGCATTTGATGACTGGAAACACTACATATAATTTATTGGTCTTTGATGATACATTTGATGACTGGAAACATTACGTATAATTCATTGGTCTTTTTCATCTATGTTTCCTCATCAATCTCTCCATGTTTACAGTTGTTGCTGTGTGTCAGTCTGAATATTTCTGTGTTCTCTGTTCACATCATTTCTCACTTTCTTAGACAGCATGGCATCTGATTTCTATTCTGCAAGCTGATGCACTGCATTGTTAATGATGTAGTTGTACAAAATCTACTAAGTTTTATATACTTTAATATTCAGGAACACCAAAACAATATCATGAATTGTAACATTTTTTTTAATGCATGATTAATATTTAATGATTTGAAAACAAATATGTTTAGCAACACAGTAAATAGTAATTACTTATAATGATTTACATTACTCTGTGTAGAAGAGTTTTTTTTGCCTGTGAATATGGTTTAAATATTTTAACATGTAGATGTTAACCATGACAAATATTTTTCAGTGCCTGGTTGCTTCCCCGAGACACGAGCAAAGCGGACAAAACGGCCGAATCTGAAGATCTCATTACCTTCACCTGAAAATTTTGGAGTAAGTAAAAATACATATTGTCCAGCATTCAAAAACCTAGATGTACAAAATAGCTTAAAGAGTAGGGCACAACATGAAAAAAAATTGCAAAAAATAGTGCTTAGTTGGGGTATTAAAATCATTTTTTTTCCTGTACTTTACATTAAGCTTATTTAATAGCTGTAGCTAATATTTTTTTTTTTTGTTTATAGGAGACTAATGGATTGTATAGGAAGATTCACAGGGCAACATCATTTGACTCCCCAGAACCTCGGGAAACAGAAGTAGATGAGGATATGCTGGATTATCTTAACCCCAAACTAGACGGGGGGCCCTCGTATCTTCAGATCATCAGTGACCCTAGTGACCCCCCTCCACACACTGTCCATTCCAAGTCGCGCTTATCATCTCATAACAGTCGTCACACTTCATTGAACAGTCGCCATAACTCCCAAAGCAGCCAATCAAATACCAGGAAACAACGCACTGAATCTCAGAGCAGTCGCCACAGTTCTGCTTCTACAGACATTTATTCTAGTCCAGTTGGGTCAAATCTTAACCTTGACCTACCGTCCACAAACATTGGTAAAAACTGCGAGTATGAACAAATCCATTCCATAGAATCCGTGGGTGGAAGATACGCCTCTTACTTGATGGCCCCTCCCAGCATTCCAGAGGACGATGATGACGCATTCCCAGAGGGATATGATTATGTTGATTATTCACATCCCAAAGTTCCCAAAAATGCAGCATATTCCGTGATTCGTGGAACTCTTCAGTGTTTGAGGAATGGTTACTCCAAGCAAGGTTACAATGCAATGGACATCAATTCAAACAACCACTTAAACATTCTGAACAATAATCTTCCCAGCATGCACCAGGAGGTGGACAATGGAGGGAGGTCACTAGGACAAGCTTATCCTGTGGATAACGCCATGTTTGACTTGAATGACCTTGTACAGGCCAGTTTTGTATGAAGGTTTTTATCTGTTCTCATCAATATTTAAAATTGTACCAATAATCATTGCTGACAGAAGGGCAAATGTACATAATCTTTTTATGACATCTGTTTTAAATGGTGGAGAATAATTTGAGACATATTCCTGAAAATATGGAATTGTTATGATTTTGTTGTTTTGTAATGTAAAATGATATTACTGCCTGAATGAATCCTGCATAATATACATGTATAGTGTCACATCATAAGAAATATTTTACAATGTTTTAGAATTCAGTGAAAGTGTCAAAAAGAAAACTCATGCTTTAACAAGAAAAAATATTTTCTGAAAGCCATGTCTCTTTCATAAGCATAGTACGAAGAAAAAAAAACAAATGAAATCTTTTAAGTTTGAAAGAAAAAAGCTTTTAATAACAGTTAAAGATCATAAGGGGATAATTGTTAAATGCATATTTCATATTGATGTTGTTGAGGGAAAGTTTTTAAAACATCTCTCAGCAGTTTAATCAGGTGGAGACATTGTACAGAAAATTGCAAAGGACTATATTCAGTAATGGCAATATATGCCCCCCAAATCAAACTCTGATGGCAAAATCTCAAATTATTTATGTTCTACATGTAAGCCAGGAGACTTCAAAGCATTGAATATTTTCATCAACCACAGCATCACAAGTTAAATATATTAAAAGTGACGTAAAATCAACATTTCAACTATTTTGAAAGAAAATAGGATATTTTACGTTGGTAATTTTATTGGCAAATATCGAGCACAGGACTGCTTAGACACCATCTTTTGATATATTGTGTAGACTGATAATATCATTGAAATATATGGAAATCTGAGGGAGTTTGCACTCTATAAATATCAAAATTGAACAAGATTTGTGCATTTTGTCTTTTTTTTTTTTTGGTCTTTTTTTTCTTAAAAAGAGAAATCCCTATAGTTTGTGATATCACAGAGATAAAAATGTTGATTTTTTTCCAATTTCTAATATATACATGTATTGTGAATGAGATTTTTTCAATACAATGTATACAACTGAGAATATTTCAAGAGATTTTCTTACTTTTACTTTTATGGGGGCAGGGATATGCCTTTACTGCATATAGTTCTTTAATACAATATTCAATATGACACAATTCTGTGTATTTTGAACACTTGATGTCTTATGATGTATATACCGAGATTTAATGAATTAAAGATATTTTTGTGTGTTCATGATTGTAATGAGATTGTCAATGCATGGACTTCTATTGTTAATATTATTTGTTATGTCAAATAAAAGAAATAAATTTGTGTTTCTTAAATTCTCCTCAAAATAATATGCTACAATATGCTCACATTTATTTTGTGAAGTGAATTGATAGCTATATTTTTGGTGGATCTCTCTTGCAGGTTGCACTGTGGAATTGAATTTTATGAAATGATCAGTAATTTTGATCCTCTCTGTCCCAGACTCCCTTTCCTGTGGTGTACCTCGATCAGAGCAAGTTCACCTCAAAATGAAAATTCTGGGAGGTTTATTGGAATTTTCCCTCTTGACCAACCATAGATTTGCTTAAATTTTTATCATCCAATCAAATTGGACATGTTAAAGCATGTGTCACTGTAAACATAAATAATGCTGGTGCCATTATCAGAGTATAAACTCTGGTGGAGTATTTACCGTTTTATAATATTATATTGATGTATTTATGATGTTACACAGTTGTCAAACTGTTGAAGTATAATTATGATACTTTGCTACACACACACACACTCACACATTATGAGCATTCATATTTGGTGGAGACTATAACTATATTCATACTGTTTTGACACCTTTAGTTTTGCAAACAAAGGGATGCAACTCTGTGAAACTGTGAAAGTGATAGCTCTTTTCTCTGAAGAGAAAGTTCTTGCAGTCCACTGATTATTAGTTAAGTAGACACTTATAGGGGTAATACAGAAATATATGGGGTCCTTGAAAAAATGCATATTGGGTGAGGCGTAAGCATATTTCCGCTCTACTTAGTGTCTACATAACGTCCTGTCAAAGATTTTTTAACAAACTCCTTTTTCTCTTAGTCAAGCAAACTGTTCCTTAACAATTGTTTACATTGTGATGTCGTTTGATACTTATGTGATGTCAGTTATGAGGCTCCTTGCGTATTCAAATGAAAACATATTGAGTATGATCTGGACAGTATGGCACGTGGAGGGGGTATATTGATTTGATGTGTGGTGGGTAGATCACCTGGAGGGGGCATATTAACAATATTATCTTGGTAGGCAGCATAATATGGTTTGATACAGTATTCTTCAATGAAATTTCAAGATTTTTATCAGAGGCAGGATAAAGAGTCAAGGATGCACTCGTTATCTTGCCCTGAGGGCAAGAATACAATTGTGACAACATGAGGCAACGGTGATGATGATGATTTCCCCACCCTAGTGGCTTCACACCTTCCTCCATAGTTCCTTGCCCTTGTTGCTCTCCCTCCATGTTGCCTAGAGGCTCTATCAGTTAACCATAGGTCTGGGTGATATTAAAACAATGCCGAAAAAAAAAGTTGAAATAAGATATAACCAAAAAAGACATTTGCAATATCTAAGAAAGTCCAGCTAATGGAAAATAATGACAAAGGCAGATAGACAGTTAATATTTAATGTCATGGTAAACTACAGAGGCCTGGCAATTTCTCTAAATAGAATCTGTCTTTTGATATGCACTAAAAATATCATCAGACCACATTTATAACAAATATGGTGATAACTGATTTAATGTAACAGATACCATCTCTAGAAATGAATACAGTAAAACGTCCCTATAGCAATGGCTCTAATTGGTGACTAATTTAGTCGCTATGGCACCTAAAAATTATGATTGGCGCCTGAAATTTTCCTATAAGTCACCAAATTTAAACCATTTAAAATTGACTAGTGTTCGTCAAATCACTGAATAAACATTTTCAGCATTTTTTTTATAAAGAGCAGAAAAGAAGTTTAAAAGTTAGCAATGGACATACTCTATATATTGACTAATATCAATTTTTAAATTGGTGCCTAAGAAAAATTTGCCTGGCGACTAAAAATTTGCAATGGTGACCAAATTTTTTTGATTAGAGCCAGTTGGCACCTGAATTTTAGAGGTCACATAGAGGCCTGCTTATAGCAAAGTGTCAGGGACTAACAATTTTGATTTGTTATAGACCTAATTCCTTATATCCAATAGGTTCATAATACATGGAATGAAAATTACTTTGCTGTAAGTGTGAATTCATTATAAGCATATTTGCTGTAACCATGTTTTACTGTATTCATAGAAAATGACAATGTAACGCTTGTTCACGCTTGTTTGGTAATCTGGTAACAAATAATACTATTTTATACATAATGTATAATTTACCATGTACTAAAATGACTTACAGTCACTGAGAATTAACTTGATGAGTAAGTTAAACCATTAACTGGATAAAAAAAATCAACACATAACTGTTGCATTTTTTAAATAAATAACATGCAATTTAAATAACAAAATATAATAATACTTTGGAGTAAAGATAGAAAGACATGAAAATAGATGTATTACAACACAGGAAAACAATAAATATTTCACAGACTTTATATTAAATAACAACCATATTTAAAAATGTTATATTTATGTAGACACCTATAGGGGAAATTTAAAAATAGTCCCAATTTACTCTTGTAATAAATACATCAAAATCAATTAAATCTATCATAAAAATCATATTTAGATCTTCATTATATTAACTCGCAATACTTGATGTAGACATTACAGTCGTGTATTTTTTGGCTTTGATGGGCAAGATTTTTTTTTCAATATAGAACAAGTTGTACATGATCAATTACAAGTAAACTAATTTCAGTAAGAATTTTTCAAGCTATAACCTTGTTAATTTTTTGGAAACAGTGGTAATCAAAAATTAATATCTCACCTCAACAAATGTTATCTACAAGTATGGCAAAGTGCCTTTCTAAGCAAATGTTCAGGTAGATGCAACATTCCTAAAAGTTTGGTCTGGCTAGGATTTTTATTGGGGAGGAACCTACTCCAATAACTTTCTGTCAGAAAATGTAATATTCAGCATTCAAACCAATTTAAGTCTGGTAGTGTGTGCATCCTTAGATGTATCATTCATGCAATGTTAGTCACATGGTGTATAGTTACTTCAGAATGGACTTTTTTCTAAAAACGAAAACTTCATCAATCTCATGGAAAATGGAAGTTAGATACAAGCATCCAAACCAAGTCTGGTAGTGTGCACCCCTAGATACATCATATGTGCAAGTTTGGAGTGGGGATGGGGGGAGAGTGACTCAGGTAACCTATTTAAAAAATGGAATGTTTTTAATGAGCTCTATAGAGCTGTGGAATGAAAATAATAAACAGGAGGCCTACGGGCCACAATAGTCACCTGAGGTATCAGACCCAAATTCAAATGACCGCTAGAAATCCAAATGCCCTACAATGTAAAAGTTTCTTCCAGACCAAATAAAAAAAAGTTTAATTAAGAGGCCCTAAATCATTTTTGAAGAAGTGAAAAAAAAAATTGAAAACATGTTTATGGAATGCTTATGAGACTGAACATAGACAAAGTTGAATAAGATATAAATCTTGATTAGAAATTAACCCTCGTATAGTAAAATCAAAGCACCAAAGGAAATAAACTCATTTATCGCTTTTCAAAAGAAAAGAAATGAGGTACATGCGTAAGTAAAGGGACTTTATATGTAGAAAAATATTGCACATGGTTTATAATATGTATTTCAGTCACAGAGCTAATGTACAGTATGTTAGTCCATTTTTAAATACAAATGTACCTTTAAAAGTGCCTAAAAGTCAAACTGTTCGGAATTAGGGTTTCTAAAGTTTGTACTTGAATTTGAATAAATTTTCTTCTAAACCTGAACAATACTTATCATTAACATGAATGGTGACTGTAAAAACCTCTGCCTCCAATAAAATGTTTTGACAATTGCACAATTTTTTCATTGTAATTGATTTATAATGCTGCAATACTACTTTATATCCCATTGTGATCTTTATCCCACAGTTAATCAGACCCTACAGAAATTTTATAGAAAGCAAGAGCTGTATTGGTTATTTGTTATTTTGGCTGTCATTGGCTGCACTGAAATCAATGTTATCTTTTTTATGATTGGCTGACTTAACATTGCTGTAACCTTCACTATCATTGGTTAAGTCTAGTATGTTCCCGAGTCTGTAGATAATCTGTCCCACTGAATCTCTCAGTCTCTGTTCTGTGGCATGACACACCAGCTGATTGACGCAGTTGAACACTGTTGGAAGAAGAACCTGGAATTCGGAGTCTGGGAGCTGATGGAACAGTCCAAGTACTGTACACAAGAGTTCTGTCCAGGATTGGATCCGGGCCTCGCTATCCTGTAACATACATCAAACACTGTTGAGGTGTCCTTCGTAATTTTTCAGAAAATGTTCTCAATAGAATCAGTATGTGATAACTTCAATTGAGTGAACATCTCTGCAGGACAATACAGGGACCAATTTCTAATGTACATAAATTCATTAATTAAATCTAGCATCAGCAAAGGGTTTGTGAGGGACTGAAGGGGTCAGAAACATTTGGCTAGCCCCTGAGGGAAGATGATGCTGCATGGAAAACTTTTTTTTACTGAATTTTTTGCAATTTGAGATTTTTTATCCAATATAGATACATCACTTAGCAGGATTTAGAATTCTGCAGCAGAGTTAAGTCCCTTTTGGTTCCACACAAACCTTCAAATAAGAATACAAGAGTGATAGAGCAGCAGAGGTACGTCCGTTTTGCTCCATACAAACCTTCATGTAAGACGTCTTCCTCTGGGCCTCTATCTGTTTGTCGACTTTGTCTACAGGTTCTTTAGATTTTCTCTCCTTGAGTTCTTTTTTTGTTTTGGAGATTTTGACAAACTTTGGCATGGCATTAGCCTGCTTACGTCTCTTGTACTCAGTCATTAGGGACTTGATGAGCGTATCCGTGGCGATAGTATACACCTTACTGTCCTGTTCCTCCCGTAGTTCTCGCTTACTCTTGGTTGGATGGTCTGAATCTGAACTCTCCACTTCCTGTTCATCTTCAGAGCTTCCTCCAGAACTCAGACAGGCTTGCTCTGAGAGGGTAAATATCAAATGTCAACAAGAAGTAATTAGCTCTTACAGGGCATATGTCAGAAGACAATTAATAAATCCTTAATCCTTAGAAAAAAAAATTTAACCCACTGGTTGGCTATTTCTTTGGTTTTTCCATTAATTGTGATTAAAAAAAATTTCAAAGATTGATTTTCATACAAAAAGTGTTTATCATTTTAAATATTTACATTTCATCAATGATAGAAAAATTGATAGGGCCTAATAAACATAAAATCAATTAAAGGACACTTTCATGTAAAAATTTTGTAAATCCTCACCCTGTAGAGGAACAGCTGAGGACATCAGATCATTGGCTGTCGGTTTTGATTTTAAGATTTCTGTATGGCCTTTCTTTCGTTTGCTCATAATATCAGAAATATCATCAGGCTGAGCAATCAGGAAAAACACCTGCTGTTCAGCCATAGTATCAACACGACTGGACGTCTCATCTGACAAAATGTCTACATACGTCTGACATAGTTCATCACAGATAGCCTTCAAAAGCTGAATGAATAACTCTGGACTAGAAAACACATCTACAGTACTTAAACAATGTTTTGTATCTCTGTAACAAACATCAAGGAGACTCTGATGAACTGAGTGAGACAGATGTTTGACCTTCACCTTATTGAAGTTGGGAAGGTTAGCACCGATCTGTAGAAGTGTATGGATAAAGAACACCATGCTGGCTCCAGCTTGTTTGTACAGATTAACAGCCACCTCTGTTCTTGCCACCTTTTGGATCAGGAACTTAAGTCCAGGTCTGGAATCAAACTCTATAGCTAGCTTGTAGGAGTTCCTTAGACACTCAAGCATCTTAACAATATTTCTGACAGATAACAGTGGAATCATTCCTAGAAAATAAAAGAGATACATCATAAAACACCATTTATAGTTAAAAATCACATGATTGAGAAAATTTTGTCATTCATTCATGTGAAAAATAGATGTTTTTTCGATTAAAAAAATTACCTGACATTCTAGTCTTGGATGTTGCTGAATCAGCACTGAGGAGAACACTACCGATGGTTTGCAGTAACAATTGATTGGCTAATAATCCAACCACCACATTTCTAAACGGCAATCTGAAAAATGTACATCTTATTAAAACATGAAATTACACTTTACAGTTGGTTACATTTATCTGGATACACCAACATAAATTTGGAGCATCACATGGATCTGAAAAAAAAAAAGGTATGAAAAGGAGATATTTGACCCCCTTTTCTATTTCCTATAAATAATACATTTATCTGACTACGAGAATATGGGACTCCAACTCAGACCAAGACTGAAAAATACTGGATCAGAGAAAAATCAACATAATCAAGAAATTCCAAAATAATAGTTGTATAGATCAGACAACAGAAGTAGGATTTTGATTAGATCACAGTACTAAAATGGGATTTTGTGTATTATTACACTGGGTGTGGGGTTTGGAATATATCATTTATGTGTGGGATTTTGCATACATCACACTACTGGTGTGGGATTTTACACATTATCACACTACTAATGGTTTTGGATTTTAATCTTATTCAACCTTAAATGGATTTTGATCAAAGTACTGAAGAAGGATGTTATGTAAGTGAGGTCTGAAAATGTGACTGAATATAAATATATATATATATATATATATATATATATATATATATATATATATATATATATATATATATATATATATATATATATATATATATATATATATATATATATATATCATACTGGTGTGAGATTTTGTGTTATCAGACTACTGCTGTGGGAATTTGTGTATAACAGACTACTGCTGAGGATTTTGAGTATGTCAAATTACTGCTGTGGGAATTTGTGTAAATCAGACTGCTGCTAGTGTAGGAATTTGTGTATGTCAGACTGCTGCTGGTGTTGGATTTTGTGTTATCAGACTACTGATCTGGGATTTTGTGTAAATAAGACTAGTGCTGGTGTGGGATTTTGTGTAAATCAGACTTCTGCTGGTGTGGGATTTTGTGTATATCAGACTGATGCTGGTGTGGGATTTTGTGTACATCAGACTACTGCTGGTGTGGGATTTTGTGTGTATCAGACTACTGGTGTGGGATTTTGTGTGTATCAGACTACTGGTTTGGGATTTTGTGTGTATCAGACTACTGTTGGTGTGGGATTTTGTGTAAATCAGACTACTGCTGGTGTGGGATTTTGTGTGAATCAGACTGATGCTGGTGTGGGATTGTGTGTATGTCAGACTGATGCTGGTGTGGGATTGTGTGTAAATCAGACTACTGCTGGTGTGGGATTTTGTGTTTATCAGAATACTGCTGGTGTGGGATTTTGTGTATATCAGACTACTGCTGGTGTGGGATTTTGTGTGTATCAGACTACTGGTGTGGGATTGTGTGTAAATTAGACTACTGCTGGTGTGGGATTTTGTTTAAATAAGAGTAATGAGTACAGGATTTTGTATAGCTTTAAATACTTAGTTCACAAAGGATTTTGTGTAGATCAGATTACTTACATGTACCTAAGAGAAGGATTTTGCAAAGACTATTGGAATTGGGTTTTGATCAATGTACTGAAGAAGGATGTCATCTAAGAAAGGTTTGACTTTGATCTGATTAACTGGGTAAAATATCTGAATTCAGATTATTGCTTTTTCCAGATTTATTTCATAAAGATCTGATTACTTGAATATTAATTGGATTAATTTGTTTCGTTTGAATTAGATCTGATTACCTGAGAAGGATATTGTCTGGATTTTAGTTCTGTTTGATTTGAATCCTATTACCTGAGTAGAAAATAATTTGATTACCTGAGAAGAATGTCATCTGGATTCAAACTGTTGTCTTCCCCAGATTTGTACAACAGAAAAACAAAGGACTTATCCTCCTCCACATCAACTGTTAACTGATGGACAGCCATCTGACTGTCTAAAAGGAATACCTACAAAGTCAAAGTATGAAAAATGTAGACAATTATCATTAAGAACACTTATAAAATGAAAGTAAGGAATATGTTGGCAATGCCAGTACATCTACAAAGTAAATGTACAGAAAATATGACTTCTTGTGGGAATACCACAAAGTAAAAAAAAAAAATGAAAACACTAACAGACAATCTTAAAAAGAAAAATGCACACTATGCAAAAAAATTACTGTAAGGAATGTGACTACTGTCATGGATGAACTCACCTGGTGAGCTAGGTATCTCAGACTCTAACTCAGGACAAACTCACCTGGTGAGCTTGGTGTCAGTCTATAATACTCAGGTGGTGAACTGTCACACAGGACAAACTCACCTGGTGAGCTTGGTGTCAGTCTATAATACTCAGGTGGTGAACTGTCACACAGGACAAACTCACCTGGTGAGCTTGGTGTCAGTCTATAACACTCCTTTGGTGAACTGTCAAACAGGACAAACTCTTCTGGTGAGCTTGGTGTCAGTCTATAACACTCCTGTGGTGAACTGTCACATAGGACACACTCACCTGGTGAGCTTTGTGTCAGTCTATAACACTCCTTTGGTGAACTGTCACACAGGACAAACTCACCTGGTGAGCTTGGTGTCAGTCTATAACACTCCTTTGGCAAACTGTCACACAGGACAAACTCACCTGGTGAGCTTGGTGTCAGTCTATAACACTCAGGTGGTGAACTGTCACACAGGACAAACTCACCTGGTGAGCTTGGTGTCAGTCTATAACACTCCTTTGGTGAACTGTCAAACAGGACAAACTCACCTGGTGAGCTTGGTGTCAGTCTATAACACTCCTGTGGTGAACTGTCACACAGGACACACTCACCTGGTGAGCTTGGTGTCAGTCTATAACACTCCTTTGGTGAACTGTCACACAGGACAAACTCACCTGGTGAGCTTTGTGTCAGTCTATAACACTCCTTTGGCAAACTGTCACACAGGACAAACTCACCTGGTGAGTTTGGTGTCAGTCTATAACACTCCTTTGGTGAACTGTCACACAGGACAAACTCACCTGGTGAGCTTGGTGTCAGTCTATAACACTCCTTTGGTGAACTGTCAAGCAGGACAAACTCACCTGGTGAGCTAGATGTCTCAGTCTATAACATTCCTGTGGCGAACTGTCCCGTCTCATTGCGACCTTGACCTGTGCGATGTCTCCATAGAAATTGTCTGAGTCGACATGGAACAACAACATCAGCTGTCTCAGATGGAATGTTGATACGTCTAATGCTGTCTCCATGGCAACTCCACTGATCTGCCACATTTCTTCATTAAATGACCTTCCTGCACTGAGCATTACATGTCTAAAAACAAGACAGAAAGGAAATTACAAAGGATTTAGTGTGGGTGTGACCAATCGACAGAAGAAAAGTAAACTTTCTCTAAGGAGGATCACATCAGCAGAAGCTAGCAATGGCTAGAAAACTGACTAGGGCACATTGTGTCTTGCAGTGGGCTTACATCCTAACAGTGTACTAAAGCCACTTTTAATATGTAGTTTTTAAAGACTTTTTTCTCCAAAATTGGGATGTTCAGGTCAGTAAAAAAAAGTTAAAGACACACAATTAAATTAGATTTATAAATAACCCCCCACCCCACCCCCTCCTGTCAGAAAATAGCTCCTCAGAGCTAATTTTCTTGTTGTCAAATCCCGTTTTTAAATAAACTTATCCCCACAAGAAAATAATAATGTGATTAAATTTTAAACAAATTAGGGTTTCTACATAGAATTTAAGTTTTCTATGTGTTAAAAAATTGCATACCTCTTATAATTTGGTAGTCAGAGTTGGGCATGTAACACCTTGAACATCAATTTTAATGATAAATTGGATATATCAAAATCTGATACTCCTAAAATTATACAATTCAACTTTAAAATGTGTCTTATTTTTTTGTGGTAATTTTTAAAATTATCCAAAAATTTTTCCCTACTTTTTAAAAAAAATTTTGATTGTCAGTCTTAAAGCTGACATGAACTCTTAAAAATGTGATATTTTCATCCTTGTACGACTTATTTCATTCCCGTACTCCTTTTCCGCCATATTTCTTCCAGATTCGCTCACTTATTTTACCGGCTATATAAACCCTGATGCCTTTTTTACACTTGAGTGATTTTCTAGCCTGGCTGTCGGCATGTACACATCTCCGATAGCAAAGTTTTGGAACACGTCATGATCTGACCGAAAACATGTAGGCCTGTACACATCTCCGATAAAGCAGTTTTGGAACATCCAATAAATCTAACAATCCTATCAATAACTAGGAATTTTACTGAAAACTGGAAATGAGTATATAAATTTTGAATAATTTTGATGCAATGCGTAAAAATCAAAACGGCAAATGCATGTTTGATATACATAACATATATATTAATTTTGAACAATAAAGAAACTACCACATGCATTTTTTTCCACAAAAAAAACCCCACTGTACTGTTGAACTTTATGCATGCTACACGGTATAAGCACATACTATGCAACTTACGCATTGAAGTAATACATGCATGCATGCATGCCGAGAAAACGCGTCGAACGCTTTATACTCATCTGCCTGAAATACAGCTATCGCTACAGGGATGTGCACATGTCGAAAGAATTACTTCCTATTTTCCTTTTATTGAAATATACATCACAGAAGTAATAACTCCATTTGTAACTCAACGGTAAACAAATTTTCACTAGCACTTGAACACACGTGGTCCCTGCCGATCAGCATTTTTGGTCAGGGAAAATATCGAAGGTGGAAAAGACACTGGTATTTTCCTGATTAGACAATATAGTCACGCAAATAAAACGTTTCAGAAATCGAACTAACTGTTGTCGGTACATGTAGTAAATATGTTCATGAATGTGGCTTCATTACAACAAATTGATTACATAAACATAAATTCTTGTTACGGATCTTACATCTTTTAAAGAAAATGAAAAGGGGGGTGGGGGGAGGTATGTAGAATACATTTTTCAATGTATTTTAAACAAACGTCGGGAAAAGGTCGGATTTTCCTTGATCAAATATATTTAAATACTTGCAATTAACTGGCCTCAACTATTTTAGATATAAAACTGATATATCTTAAATTTACATATACTCGACAATTTGTTTCTGTAGATATTTTCAAATCAGGACAATTTTAGGCGTCACAAATTACAAGCACGATTGATACAATGGAGCGTTCCCATTTCACCTTAACTGTGAAATATAGGAATTAAAAATGTGAAAAAGTTCTAAGGCGAAGTGGTAATTTGATTATTTCTCTGTAATAACAATAAATGTAAATTAATTAGATGTTTGTTTTACCGATAAGTTAATTACACAGTTAAAAAAGAAATATTTTCGATGTAAAATGGAAAAAAAATAGTAATGTGTAAATATTGTACAATTACCAACAAGCACAAACATAATTATGTGTATATAAATAATCTACAGTACATGTTTTTGTATATATTGAAGTTGAGTAAGTATTACACTATTAGTATATGTGAAAGTAATATTGATAATTGAAATAGTTCTACCGTGTACCCAAATGTGAAGTGGTGTGATTCAACAATCTTCGCGCGCATTGCCAAAGATATCACGAGGCGATGCAAAAGTACTAATTATTACATTACATAAGTTTTTCTTAACAACTACGCATATTTACACGTTTTAGATATTTAAAGAAATTTTGTGATGTGACTGAATGATTAAAATATGGTTGCGTGCATGTGTATTATTTCTACAAATATTATATACTAATAGTCAAAGTTTATAGGAAAGGAAAACAATGTGCCCCTGACAGTATCCACACCCCACAAAACATTTTGATATTGGTTTTTTTTTCTCTTGTTTAAAAAATTTCTGGTAGGAACCTTCTGTGCTCTTCGAAGGTGTAAAGAAACAAAAAAACTGAATTTGTTTCTTCTGCAAAGTACATGAGAAGAGTCCACATGTTTCCATTCCCGTGAAATATAGTTTTCACAATTGTTTGTTCCCTTTTCGTTTGGTGTGTAGATTTTTTTTCTTTTCTTTTCCTTTTCTTTTTGGCTTGTCAAAAAAAGGAGACAATTTTTTCAGCAGGTTTGATCCACCCTGCCCCAGAAAAATTCCTCGATCTGCCCTTATAAAGACTATATCATTTCCCATGATTTTTACTACATCAGATTGTATATGCATTATTGCTCTTACATGTACGGATACTTACACATGAGAGAGAGAGAGAGAGAGAGGGAGTATACTTGTATTGAAAATGCAAAAAATATTTATAATCTTGCAGTTTAGGTTTTCAGTAATCCTTAAACTATTTTTTAAGATTTTCTCAAAATACAAGAAATTGAATAGGTACCAAATTTTAGACTACCTGCGGAAACTCTCCAATCTGGAAAGACTTTCAAACAGGCACGTAGCACCGTTTCTCAAAGTGTGTGTATGCGAGGGGGAGCGGGGGCAGTAAAATGATTGACAAGCAAAAGAAAAACTTTATGCATTTAAAAATTGGGGGAAGTGACGAAGGGAAACAGGCATTTAAAAAATCCGTAGTCAAGGGAGGGACAGATTCCATTCATCCTATCATTTTTGGCAGAAAAATATTTGAGTACGATGTACAATAATGTTGGATAAGAGTTGGGGGGGGGGGGGGGGCAGCAGCCATTCTTAAAATAAAAAATCCGTGTCGAACGCGTGGGTGGGGGATGCCCCCTTTTTCCGAGCATAATGTTTTACTGTTTAGTATGAAATACACACTCAAATGCTGATCTCCTCCACTTTTTGTTGCACTATAATCAAATCCTCAAAAAAGTTGCCTTCCCCCCCCCCCCCCCCAACCCCAACCCCCCATTAAATGGGATTTCGGAGAATTTTTTTATATTTTATTTTTTTTAAATTTATTTTTTATTATTATAATTTTTATTATTAATTTTTTTTTTTTTTTTTTTTTTTTTTGCTTGTCAAAGATTTTTCAGGTAAAATGTCAATTATTTCTTAGATGCTACGAGCCTGAAAGACACTCTCACTGAGAAAAGGGAGTATCCCTCCCCCCCCCCCCCCGGCTCCACGTATGTGTATATTTGTTAATTGTGTTCTGGTTAAATGCTCTCATGTCGTGTTCTAAATCATTTTTTTTACACCAAATTACTCAGTTTAGTTTTTTATAATCAGCAATCAGACTTTTTTTTAAGTGATGTCTTATTTTTTACCCAGTCGCGCAAATACTAATTCCCTTTTTTACTTTTGATATTTTCCCTGACCAAAATCTGATCAGCACGGACTAAGCGTATTCGAGTGCAAGGCTGTACGATGAAGTGACAACGTGTTTACTGTTGAGTATTTACGGAGTTTATTACTTTTTGATGCATATTTCAATAAATGGAATACAAGGTGTAAATTATTCGGCATGTGCACATCTTCGAACGGGCACAGTGGTCTATTTCCAGGTATGAATAAGTTTACGGTGTTCGACATGTTCTCTCGATATGCATCAATTGTATTTGAATGCATATGGACATGCACAGGAAAAACACTGGTGGAGTGGTGGTTTGTTCCATTCTTACGATAGATTATTGCAAATTGTTTGTACGAGTTTTACTGTGTATTATTTCAAGTTTATTATGCATATATTGGTATGCTTTTAAAAAACACGCGCAACTATGTTTTTTTCTTCCAAACTTGCATTTATGTTATTCAAAACGATGATTATTCATAATTATCGTTATGACTGTTTTTATCTGTTCTGGTTTTAAATTTTTTTATCAATTCATGTGTTCCCAAATACTTTACTATCGGAGATCCGAGATGTGCACGCGTCGATAGCCGAACCAAAAATTCACTCAAGTGTAACGAGGGCATCGGGGTATATATCGTTACAACAAGACAAGGTATCTGAAAGAAATATGGCGGAATAGTTGGTTTGAAACAAGTCGTACATTGATGCAAATGTTGCGTTTTTAAGAATTCATGTCAGCTTTAACATAATGATAAAAAAATATGGCCTTAAATGTCATTAAATGACAATATCAATTTTAAATGTAAGGATGATTTTTCCAAGCCACTTTACATCTGTATCATAAATATGAGGTCTTCAAAACTTTTCAGAGTTATTGCATTACAGTAACAGTCTGGAAGAGTATTGACTTTATACAGGAATAGCCTGGGTCAGTTATTAAGCTTATATAGGAGCAAACTGGGAAAGTAAACCTTATACAGAAGCAGACTAGTAAAGTAATTACCTTACATAGGAGCAGGTTGGGAAAGTAATTATCTTGGAAGGGAGCAGGAAGGGAAATACCTTATGTAGGAGCATGTTAAGAAAGAAATTGCCTTTCATAGGAAC